AAATTTTGCCCGGACAGCAGTGCTACGGCCTACTCTTATTTCAAGCTCCAACTTCAAGGGTTCTTTTACGTGCACGCCAATGTGTACACGGAAGCTTGCAATTAGTCATTAGTCCCATTTGCACGACTTTACTTCTGTCAAGGGGAACTTTCTTGGAAATGATATAAAATGGGGTTTAACGTCCTACTGTTCTGTTCCGACTGGGCTAATGAAGACGGGCATACGCCATACAGTGTGCTTTGAGGGAAATTTTTCCCAGGCAGTGGCACTACTCTTATAACTGCCAAGGGATCTTTTACATGCACACCAATGTATACACGGGACCTCAGTTTTTCGTACTATCAAACGACTAGACAGCTGTCCTTGTCAGACCCTCCATCCTGCATCACTGACAAGGGGAAAACACACCCGAAAATCCTGATGAACTTTCTCAGCCAATGCAGGGATCGAACATGCAACCTCCACCCTAGTGAGCCAGCATCTTACCCACTTAGCCACCGTGGCTCCCAACCTTTCTGTATTACATAAGATGAGGAGAAAATATCTATAATATAAAGTGTGCGTTACTTACGTTGCACTGATATTGGCAGACATAGCCGGTGGTTCCCATCCTAATATAGGTACACCTTGTAGATGTACGTGCATATCATAAATACCCTAAAATACACACATCCAAAATCATAAATATACACATCAAAAATCATAAATTCAAACCTCATAAATACCCTAAAATACATGCATCCAAACCTCATAGATACCCTAAAATACACACATGCAAAATCATAAATTTAATACCCTAAAATAGCCATATCAAAAATGATAAATATACCATTCAAACCTCATAAATATCCTAAAATACACACATCCAAAATCATTAATACCCTCAAATATACACATCAAAAATCATAAATACCCTAAAATACACACATCCAAAATCATAAATACCCTAAAATACACACATCCAAAATCATTAATACCCTAAAATGCCTAAAATACACACATCCAAAATGATAAATAAACCATTCAAACCTCATAAATACCCTAAAATACACACATCCAAAATCATCAATACTCTAAAATACACACATCCAAAATCATAAATACCCTAAAATACACACATCTAAAATGATTAACATACCATTCAAACCACATAAATACCAGTACCCTAAAATACACACATCCAACATCTTACTCACTGAGCCACTGTTGCTTCCTTTACTTACCTCATTAAAGAAATCTCCAACCCATTTAGCTACCATTAGAACAATCATGATTGGCAGGCCATATGATACATTACCCGTAGCTTCTACCATGATAACTGTTAAACTTATTGTCATACGTACTACACCACCTAAAATACAAATATATTTACACATCAAACAGGGACCCTTGTTCCCCCAGGGGGGATAGGTGGACGAATGGTCTGTCATTGAATCAAGTGATGTGGTTTCCTGCTTCCATCCCTCTGCTTAAAATCCCTATAGGGATTATTGAAATAAAAGTGTACCATATGTTAGTCCTGAAATAAACTACTCTGAATTGAGTGGATGTGAAACCCCCTTTCTCTCTCTCTACACAACAAAGTAAGGAAGGGCTAGGGGCCTTAATCCCTCATCGATTATTCGTGATATTATTCGTGATAATACACTAAACACTGTGTAGAAATTTAAAGTCTATCATATATTAACATTAGCCTCTAATGACTGACGGTCGGACGGACGGACGGACGGACGGGGGCAACAACAATATATGACCACATTTCAATGTGGACGTATAAAAACTACAGATTTACTTGCATTTATATTGTGCTCTATTTATCTGAAATGAAATACGGTTTAATGTCCTACGTTTCTGCACCGACTGGGATAATGAAAAATAACATACACTAAGTGTGCTATGAAGAAATTTTGCCCAGACAGCCTCACTACAGCCTACTCTTATATCAAATTCTAACTGTTATAGGGTATTTTACATGCACATAAATGTGTACACTTGACCTTGCTTTTTTGGACCATATGAACGACTAGCCACTGTACGTCCTGTCCAGACACTACATGTCCTGCACTACATAAATCCAGAGGAACTTTCTCTGCCTACAATGGGAGGGATCCCGAGACCACCTGGTTGGAGAGACAACACCTTACTCATTCCGCCACTACTCTGCACAACATCCCAAATGATATCCTAATGTGTAGAGGCCAAAATAAAAAATAGCTCTGTTTACTTGGAAGCCCAACTTTTTTATTTAAAGCTGAAATTGTCGACGCTAATCTCTTTTCTCATTTTTCAGGCCCCTATAACTCGGTCTTGGCATGGTTTTCTATGGATAAATTTCACCACTGACATTTCAGGATTATTTTCAAGAACCATACGCAGTAATTCAGCTACAAATGCTAGGAAATAGATTATACACACCTAACGACAAAAAAAAAACTTACCCAACATGGCCGCAGCACCAATCAAAGCATATTTACCAGGATCTGTCCAATCCTGAAATAAATATATTTCCCTTATAAGAGGAGAAATGAAATGAAATGAGGTTTTATGTCATAATGTTCCGCTCTGACTGGGCTAATGAAGACAGGTTGGACAGGAGACCCTACTCCTTGTCACACACAAGCATGGAATCGAACCCACACCATTTAGCTCAATGACAGTTGTGATTTCACGGGCACATGTTATACCACTAGACCACCCTAATTGGCATCATAATTTGAAATCGGGATATTGCTGGCACAAATTGAATGTGACCAATATGACTGAAACATCCACCAAGCGAATTATTGAAATATGATCATATGTTAGTCCCGAAATGACCGTATACTTTGTGTCGAGTGGACATTAAACCCCATTGCTCTATCACTCTTAAATATATTGAAGCTTCACTGCCAGTCAGTCAAGATATAAAAGCCTCGTCCTCGACCCACTAGCAAACCACTACCCGGCTCCTGTCACCCTACCGTTATTTGTAAACAAAATCAATACTTCACCTGATCCGGGAAACAATAGTCGAAGAATATACCAGCTAATCTTCCCCAGGCAGCACCAATCAAAATACACGGAATGAATAAACCACTGGGCACGCTCAAACCATACGTCCAACACGCCAAGAAGAAGTACACTAAGGTGTAAAATCCTAGCGTATGAATATCATACGAACCTACAAAAAATAAAATGAAATGAAATGGGGGACCGTTTAATGTCCTACATTTCTGCACTGACTTGACTAATGAGGACGGACATATGCCATACAGTGTGCTATGGGGGAAATTTTGCCTGGACAGGGGCACTACGGCCTACTCTTATATCAAATTCTAACTGTCAAGGGTTCAAATACATGCAGACCGATTTGTACACAGCTCCTTGGTTTTCCATCCCATCCAAAGGACTAGACATTACATTTAAATCTAACATGTTCTAGTACCAAATAAAACTCATTGAATGACAACTGTCAAGGGTTGTATAACATGGATGGGCTTTGTTTTTTTCATCCCATCCGAATGACAAGACACTTGTCCTTGCAAGGCTCTCATTCCAACACAACTGACAAAGATAAACCAGCCTGTAAACCAATAGGATCTATCTCGGCCAACACTGGGATTGAACCCGGGAACTCCTGGTTAGTGAGTCAACCTCTGACTCACATAGCCACCATGGCTCACCTTATAAATAAAGAGAGAGAGAGAGAAATGGGGTTTAACGTCCACTCAACACAAACTTGGTCATTTCGGGACTAACACATGGCTAGATTTTATTTCAATAATTCACTTGCGGGTAGGGGTCTTTAGCAGATGGAGGAAACCAGAGGACCCAGAGAAAACCCACAAGGTTGAACTGGCGACCCTACTCCTTATCATGTACAACTGGGGAATCAAAACCACGACAATTGACTTAATGACAGACCTGATGATAAAACGCACACACGCTAACCATTCGGCCATTCAACCCACCTTTTAAATAGAGCACCTGCCTATATAAAAATAACATGAGACAAATATATTTGAACTACATACCTGCTTGATTATGAAAGAGATTTTTGACGCTAGTTTCAGGTGTGTGGAAAAATATATTAGCTGATGAACTGTACTGACCATCATCACAGAAAAACTACAAAATTACAAATTCTATAATCAGGTGTTAGTCTGTGTTTTAACATTAAATTCTTTGAAATTCCTAAACATACATTATGCGAGAACTAAATCTCCCTATTGCAGGTTTTTAATGTTATCTAAATTATTAGTAAGACATTAATTAACTTATCCAGACCATAATCCAGTCGAACCACAGGTGTATAATTTACCTGCACAGGGGTTTCCTGGCTACTTTCTTTCATTGGTTCACAATCATTGTTAAAATAGATAGACACGAAACCAGCGGTAGCCGTTAATGCTGCAACAATCATAGCTTCAAAGACTTGATTCCATCGCTGTCTTACATATCTGGAAGGAAATAACATTTCCAAATTAATAAAAATATTGATACTAGACGTAGTTGGTTTTTATAAATTTATAACAATATGACTACTTTGACAATGACTGGAAGTGGTTGGTTTTAATTAAATTGATAACAATATTACTACTTTAACAAAGACTGGATTTGGTTGGTTTTAATAAATTTATAACAAAGACTGGATGTAGTTGTTTTTTTATAAATCACTAACAAATATTTCTACAGGAAAGACTGGACCCAGTTGGTTTTTCTAACAAATATTTGTACAGGAAAGACTGGACCCTGTTGGTTTCTATAACAAATATTTCTACTGGAAAGACTGGATGTGGTTGATTTTTATAACAAATATTTCTAGTGGAAAGACTGGATGAAAAGTTATATAAAGTTTCAATACAAGGCTTATTACTGAGCGACATTTCGACCAGGCTTCTCTAGTCATTATCAAGCAATGGATACAAAATTAAAAAACAAACCTCATTCTATATATGGTTAACATGTAGTTAATCTGGTTAAACAAGGCCCCTAATAATCCACCTGAAGTAAAATATAAATTAAAAGTAGAGAAATTCTAATAATCCACCTGAAGTAAAAATAAATTGAAAGTAGAGAAATTGTAATAATCCACTTGAAATATAATAAACATTCTTATAATAAAATAAAAGTAGAGAACTTCTAATAATTCAACTGAAGTGACATAAACATTCTTAACATAAATTGAAAGTAGAACAGTTCATTCCAGTAGGATTTCTATTTCAATATTAGACATGTTATGGAAGGTACACGGATAGACAATCTCTGACAAAAATTTCCATGCCCATCTTCATTAACCCAGTAGGCAGAGAAGTAGGATGTTAAACCCCAATTCACAATCTCAGCCGACTCCCGTTGAGGAGTTTACCGTTTGTTTATCTCTGGGAAAACTCGCCAGCCATTAATTCGGTTCTTAAGCTCCTCCCGAAGTGGCTCCTGATTGGTCGGATTTGTTTGAATGAAATGCTGCTGATTTCTCAACGATTAGGCATCGGTTCATCGCATAAGTTACATATTAATGATCCTTGGAACATTTCCACATCACAATTTCATCCATAAACAGCCCATTATTTACCAGGAACTATTTTTAGTGTGCAATGTGAGTGATTCGGAAATACAAGTGTTAAATACGCAAAATTTTTGAAGAAAAACGAGTTTGAGCCGCCATCTTGGATCTTTGTGAAGCGACTGGCGGAAGGATACATCACGTGACATTCAAAATGACGTAAGACTGGCAAGTTTTCCCAGAGATAAACGAACAGTAAACTTCTCTCTGGGAGCCGATATTGCACAATTTAATTGACTTTACTTTTTAAAAATTTCAATTTGTCACAAATAGAGAGTGAGAGAGAAAGCTATATTCTTTTGGGACTACCATGGTTCAATTTTATTTCGATAATTTGCTTGCGTGTAGGGGTATTTAGCAGTCGGAGGAAACCAGGGTACCCAGAGAAAACCCACAAAGTTGGACTGGGGACTCTACTCCTTGACAGACCATATGATCTAAAATGCAGATGTTCGACCATTCAACTAATAACTAAAGAAATAAAATATATTACCTATAACTCCCATCACTATAAATATAGGAATTTCAAATCCAGAATATTTTGAATCCTACAAATAAAGCAAAAACAAATCATGGAAACATTGATATCTGGCAGCTTCAGTTTAATCAATCCAGTCTATTATCAATGATAATCAGGATGAGTAATACATCCAGCAGTTCAGTCAAATAAATTTGGAAAATTGAATATTATTCAACATATCTTGATGTCCAATTGGGCAAATTCATGGTCGGATGTATGGGAAATAGCGCAGGACATGTTCGGAATATACGGGCGAAAAAGCATCCCTGGTGTCCATCCCTACCAACTTTCAAATCCTCACTCAAGACTTATCTGTTCTGATCCGATGCTATGTCAAGTATTGTGTTTAACATCCACATAATTAGACCATTTTTGGACTAACATATGGTTCAATTTTATTTCAACAAATCGCTCACGCTTAAGGGTCGTTAGCAGTGTACATAGGACCTTGTTTTTTATACACATCCGAATGACTAGACACTGTTCTTGTCAGGCCCTCCATCCTGCACCACTAACAAGAGGAAACCACTCTTGAAATTTCCTGGGAACTTTCTCGATCAACACCAGGATGGAACCCATTACCTTCTGATTAGTGAGTGTAGGATAAAAAGCATCGACATTTTTCATACTTACTGTAAATTTACCAAAATTAATTAAACCAGGGTTAGATAACTCCCACTGGTTTCCTTTAATATAACTCTGTACAACGTTTAAAGTAAAAGTAGACGACATGGAGGCAAAAAACTGAAATGACGAAAACAGACAAGTCAGTCTAATTTTTATTTACATTTAGAATACTCAATAGAAAATTAAATAAACTGAATTTTCCCAAACCCTCAAAATGTGTCAATCATGTCAATCAGGTCTTTCTTTAGGAATGAAATGTTATCTAAATTATTAATTACACATTAATTAACTTATTCAGACCATAATCAACTCTCGATGTCATTGCTAGCCTGCAATAGGCAGATTAAGCTCAGTCTGGCAAAAGGGTAAATTCTGCAAGAGCAATTTTTCAAATAATTCATTCAAATCAAAGAGGCTTTTTATGCTTTTTAAAATAATATTTGTACAGTCGAATATAAGTTGACAAGCCAAAACAGGACGAAAATAATATCTTACAATTCTCCATGTTAAACCCTGGTTCCAGAAGCTGGCCCCTTCTTCTAAACTGAACAGAACACCACCAACAGGGGCACCAAAAGCAGCTGCAACCCCAGCTGCAGCTCCACCAGATACAAAATCCCTTTTCTCTTTGTCTGTTCGAAAATATTCAAATACCTAAAATTATAAAAATAAAACACTAGTCATCAACATCCTGCTGCCTGGGCAACATTCTCCTAATAGCATTGCACTAGTGACCATAGAAAAAATAAAGAGAGAGAAATGGAGTTTAACATCAACTCAACACAAACTAGGTCATTTCAGGACTTACATATTATTCAATTTTATTATTTCAATAAGGCCTAAATGTTCTGTTTCATGTAACCCGACCGACCCATTACAAAACCTGCCAACTCTTAAAATCATTTTTAGTGTCAAGAGAAACCCTAAGTCTACCAGATTAGTGAAAATGCCGATATTATTTGTTGTTATATAAATGAATGTAAATGTCATCGTTCTTTGAATCTGCATTTACCGTTGGAATAGGCGGGTACAGTGAACGATTATTAAAAACTGCCATTAAGTTGATGCGAGACTGCCAACTGACATGAAAATTGAGACTAATGGTTTCGTATAGATTTATCACTGCACATTCAGAAAAGCTATAACAATCCTCACAACTTTCGTTCTAAAAATTGAATAAGTTAATAACAAAATATATCTTTTTTACATTATAATTATCAGCTTATTTCTGTTAAAAGACAGAAAGGGTAAAGACTTATTTTGATTAAACATCACTCAACATGCCAGATCATGGGACAGATGTTTGGTGATTTGATCTGTGCTATGCAAGGAGTTCAGAAGGAAGGTGTTATTAAGCTCTCAAGGTGAGTACATTTACTGAATGAAGATGGACGACCTTACACATGTAAACTTACTTTAAAATCTATACCAAACGTTGTTGATCTTCCCTGGGACACACCAGCTGCTATAACTGCACCAGAATGTATCATAGGCCCTTCCTGCAACGTCAAAATATACCTATATTATTACAATTATTATTATCAAAATATACCTATATTATTACTATTAGTATTATCACGGTTGCCAGGGGTGGAGCCTGGGGCATAGGTTCTTCCTGCAACCTCAAAATATACCTATATTATTACTATTATTATTATCATAGTTGCCAGGGGGTGGAGTCTGGGACATAGGTTCTTCCTGCAACATCAAATATCACGGTTGCTCAGATGGCATGAAGAATCAGGATCTACAAAGATCTGTTAAAAACACCATGCTGTTGGCAATAATAACAATTCGCCTTCCTATATGTTAGTTTCAATATATTAATTTGACAAGACTTAAAACTTTATTCCTTCGCTTTGGAGGGAGCCACTGTGACTCGGTGAGTATGGTCACGGCTCACTAACCAGGAGGTCCTGAGTTCAATACCAGGATCTTTCATCTTGGATTCAATTGGTAGTAATTGGCCACTTATCAAAGATATCACGAAAAAATGACCCTCACAGCACACTACATGGCATATGCCCATTTTCATTACCCTAGTTGGTGCAGAAATGAAAAGAGAGAGAGAGAGAGAGCTGGGGTTTAACTTCAACTCAACACAAACTATGTCATTTCGGGACTAACATATTTTTCAATTTTATTTCAGTATTTTCGCTTGTGCGTAGCTGTCTTGGCGACCCTAATCCTTGTCATGTACAACCGGGCAATCAAAACCCCGCCAACTGACTCATTGACAGACCTTATAATAAAACGTGCAAAACCATATTTTAGTCCCAAAATGACCTGGTTTGTGTCGAGTGGACATTAAACCCCATTTCTCTCTCTCATTAGGATGAAAAACATCATTTGATTAAATTTCAAACATGTATACTGAAGTTTTGTATAATGAGTCAATTTTACCTTTCCTACAGCTAAACCGCCTGCTACAGCACAGATAACACCCAGAACTTTACATATCAACGTTTTTATTCTTACAACCCTGGGGATTTTTATACCATTTAAATAACATTTAATCTGAGGGATACCACTTCCTGCTGACATTGGCTACAAAACAAAACAAACAACATGATTAGTTGGTGTTAAATCAACCCAATCAAATAACACATGGATAACAATTACTATGTTAACTAAGGTTTATTTCAACCCAATCAAATAACACACTATTTATGGATAACAATTACTTAGTTAACTAAGGTTTATTTCAATCCAATTTCAATCCAATCAAATAACACTATTTATGGATAACAATTATAACTAACGTTTATTTCACTGCCACGTTTCAACAAGATTTGACAAGTCATTATCAAGAATATAACACAAAATAAACCATAGTAATTGTTATCCATAAATAAACCATAGTAGTTATCCATACATATATACATATAACCGCTTATCTAATATTTAATAATGACTTTTCGTAACACATACAGGTCACGTTTTCAAGTTAATGATAAATATCTATCTAGTCAGCCTATTTATACATATTTTGGATTACAAGTCTTTTTTTGATATCAAAAAATATCAACAAAAGTCTATAATGTTAAAAAGAACGAGGCTTTGCCAATTTTCTTTTTACTTTATTGATGAGTGTTGATACAGTGTATAACCATTATTGTACATTTTTATAGCACTTTACATCTGCAGCATTCACGCACTTTAAAGCCAGGAGAATGTTGCGTTCACACGTTCTGCATTTTTAAGCCAGGAGAATGTATATCCTGCCGCAAATTTTCTCTAGCACCAGTATAATGAATTGAACATTGCCATAAGCTAGCTGAAGCCAGAAATTTTAACATAAACTACCCTGACAGCCAAGTTAAGCCTGCTTAGAAAAAAAATCTTTTCTAGGACAGGTAGCGAGCTGGGTTTTTATATTTGAGGTGCATTTGCATCAAGATAACTTAAAAGAATAACTGATTATAAAGTAGCTAAAAGTTGAAACTATACCTTCCGATACATTGATGACATAACACCTATCAATGATAACGGAACTTTCAACAACAAGTATAGAAATGACATACATCTTCCAGAATCAGTATTAAAGGATCGAATCATCAATATTGATTTTGTTATCTTGGCATGAAAATATGGGATCCTAATACCAAATATTCAAGACATAATGAACAGTTTACAATTAGTAAATAATAATAAAAAAACGTGAAGAATGGGATGAAGAGCGATTGTTTTAGTTTCAAGCACCAAAGCAGTGGAATCTCTTGCCTTTTAGTATCCGCAGTTGTTTTTCTTTAACAACTTTTAAATGTAAACTTAAAACTTTCTTATTCCAAGAGGCTTTTAATTGTTGAATTAATTTTAAATCTTCACCGTATGTATTTTATAGATATTTATATATTTATTTTTGAACTGATTTTTTTAGATATTTAGTTTCTTACTGTTTCTATATTTATTATTTCTTACTGATTTTATATTTTCTATACATGTATTTATTGTAAAGCGCACCTGAACACGTATGTGGAAGATAGCGCTATATAAGTGTTGTATACTACTAATAATAATAATAATTAGGTGTAAATGATTGTCATTCAGTTTCAACTGTACGCGTTTTCACCGAACATAATTGATTAGAAATTACAATTTTTTTTTAAAAAGTGAATATTAATCACTTTATAATTATATACTCATATTACATTAATTTGTGCTTTTAGATCTATTTATGGTTCAAAAAAATAGAGCCATATGCCCTTTAATCTGTTTTAACCTTTTCCTAATTCTATCTGGATTATTATCCTTATTATTGTTGGCAATGTTCTAATTACTTATAATAGTAATAATAATAATAAAAGTTCATTTCTTGAGCGATAAATCCATCCATAAGCATGCTCAAAGCACTTTTATGAGCAATAAACTATATACATGTATATTAAATTTAGTCGACATAAGATTGTTTGAACAAGTGAGTTTTTAATCGGGACTTGAAACTTATAAGAGTTTTGCTGTCACAAATATTTTGAGGTAAATTGTTTCACAGTTTTGGTGCAGCAGTAATAAAGCTTCTATCTCCAAACTGTTTTGGCAGACTACCACCTTTATGAAAGTCATTACGCAGATGACTGCCGTCACTACTGGTCGCATATTTTATCCATTGCTTCCTTGTATTCAGTATCCGCTTACCATTACAATTGACCAAGTTTTTAATCCGCCTAAAATTCAATCGCTAAATTCTTGATTCCCTTTACATTATTTAGTTTTTAACTATTATAGTGAGAACTGCCAGCTCTTTATCTAATCTCCCATAATGTATCTTTAAGTTTCTGAAAGTCATATTTGGCAAAATGTCTGTGATGGAAAATTTCTTGCTTGCGTGTAAAATCAACAGATAGAATTATAGTTACCTCCCCATAGGCTGTGAAAATAGCACCAAACATAACGATGCCAGCGTTGAAGGCCACCCATAGTAAAAACGGTGTATACAGACAGAAACTCTCTACACATTTATTTACATCTGAAAAAAAAACAATAATAATCATTAAAGTATTTTCTTTGTGACATTTCAGAACATACCGTAACCTTTAACTCTAATTAGGGGGATCACGTGGCTAAGTGGGTGAGACGCTGACTCACTAGCCTGGAGGTCGGGTGTTCGATCCCTGCATTGGCCGAGAAAGTTCATTCAGATTTTCCAGCGTAGTTTCCCCTTGTCAGTGATGCAGGACGGAGGGCCTGACAAGGACAGCTGTCTAGTCGTTCGGATGGGATGAAAAACCGAGGTCCCGTGTACACATTGGTGTGCACGTAAAAGATCCCTTGGCAGTTGGAATTCAATATAAGAGTAGCCCGTAGTGCCGCTGCCCGGGCAAAATTTCCCTCATAGCACACTGTATGGCGTATGCCCGTCTTCATTAGCCCAGTTTAGGAGCAGAACAGTAGGACGTTAAACCCCATTTCATTTCATTTAACTCTAATTAGGTTGTTTTGGGACTAAAATATGGTTCAATTTTATTTCAGTAAAACCCAGTGTATAGAGAGGAGTAAAACGGAATGAGAACACTGGGGATACCGAGGATGGTCTTCATTAGTTTGGTTGAAACAGAAAATTAAGACATTAATCCCCATCTTATTTCATATCATTGTTCGCTATATTACACGGATATATAATATAATACTACTATGTCTTACATAGTCGTATTATATTAGTGGTTTCGAATCCCCGGTTGTACGTGACAAGGAGTAGGGTCGCCTGCCCAACCTCGTGGGTTACGCGCAAGCGAATTATTGAAATAAACTTAAAACCATATGTTAGTAGTCCCGAAATGACCTGGTTTGTGTTCAGTGGACGTTAAATTCCATTTCTCTCTCTCTCTCTCCTTGATCACTGTGTAACAGGTTCAAGGATAGGGAGGTGCAGTCGGTACATCGCTTCAGGGACCATCAAACCCCAGGGGTCCCATATATATATGATGTAGTATAGTTCAGTGCAAATAATCGTATTTCAGTTATTCAGAAAAATTTTTTGTTAAATTCTCTGTAAAGCCAAGTCACACTAGTGGATTTATTCTGAGGTTTTATATCCATAAGCTAAATCCTTTCATGTGAATGGGGAAAATTTGACCTATAGGTTATAGATTTTCTGGGCCCTTATTCACAATAACTTAAACTAAGATACAATCGAAATTTTAAGAAATAATGCAATTCGATTGGCTGACCAGTAAAATCAATTTGCATCTGAATAAGGGCCCTGGCCTATGGATAAATCCTTAGATTTAGAACATGTCCTATTCACGTAGGATTTGTCCTATGAAATGACCAATCAAATGCAAGCGCACACTTCCTCAAGATGTCTGATGCTGAACTCAACCGGGCCGAAACAGTGAATTTTATTTTTTATTTTAACTGCCAAAGCGTGCTGTGGTCGATTCAATCTCAAGATTACCATAAATGCAAGAAAAGGCTTATTTACATTTCTACTAAACCATAGGATTTTACTTACTGTATGACCACAAAAACATACAGTATTTATCCTTTAAGATTTTTGCTAGGATTTGTCTTATGTGACTTGGCCTTAATACTCACATTTTCTGACATAATCATATTTTACACCCGAGCATATGTCGATCATGTAATCAATAAAACAGGCAATGAGTCCTGTTAAAACACCAATTAACAACGACACAAACCATCGAGCTATTTCTTTACGAATAATCTCCTGTAAATATAAACATTCAATGAATTAGATGATAGAAAACAAATATATTCTTCTTCTCAGACAGCGAGTAGGGTCGTCTGTCTAACCTTGTGGGTTTTCACTGGGTCCTCCGGTTTCCTCCCACTGCTAAAGACCCTACACACAAGCAAAATATTGAAATAAAATTAGACCATATGTTAGTCCTGAAATGACCTAGTTTGTATCGAGTGGACGTTAAACCCCATTTCTCTCTCATTCTCTCTCTGTTATCGGATAATGTTGCGTCACTTAAAAGGGGCTGCAAGACCCGTTTTAATTTTTAAAAATCAAAAACTAAAAACATTATAGTGGTTACAAAAGTTGAGCAGACTCTGGTGCTTTTATCTAAGTAGGCCAGTTCTTGCACTTTTTTCTTTTGAGGAGGGGGGGGACGAATGGTGTAAAATATGTGCTTTGGATCATAAGGTCTGTGATTGTAGGTGCAGAAAAGTAGAACGTTAAACCCATTTCTAACATTGAGTAAACTGGCATGGTTTCGATTCTCCGCTTGTACGTGACAGGGAGTCGGGTCATCTGTTTAACCTTGTGGGTTATCTCCGATTTCCTCCTACTGCTGAAGACCCATATCCTTAAACGAATTATTGAAATAAAATTGAACCACAATTCATAGTTTGTGTCAAATGGACATTAAATCCTATTTGCCCCTTAAATTTTTGATAAATTGATAATTAGTAGAGTACAGGTTTCTTTTGAATATAAAATTTTAATTACATTTATTTCTCTGGGCCCTTATTCATGAAAACTTAAACTAAGATACAATCAAAATTTTAAGAAATACTGCAATTCGATTGGCTGACCAGTAAAATCAATTTGCATATATCCAATGAAGTTGCAGTATTTCTTAAAATTTCGGTTGTAACTTAGTTTAAGTTTTCATGAATAAGGGCCCAGGTCCGGATTAACTAATGCTAGGTTCCCTCTATCATGATTCATGCTGTGATTGAAATTGTGGTTTTAATCATGGAGTAATCGTGGTGATCCAATCAGGTCTTATCATGTATTTGAGGTCATTCATAGCAATCGTGTTGATCGTATTGAAACGTATCCAAATGTATCTGCGCGTAGCAGATTGTGGACTCAATAGTGACAATCCTATCACTGCGCATCGCACTACAGTGGGAACCTAGCATAAAGACTTTTAATTTTCTATAAAAAAAAAAAAGCAATACTTACCTGCGTTGTTTTTTTCTTCTCTTCCTTGAGATACAGAGAATTCTCGCAAATATCATAATCTAAACTCTAGAAAATAAAAATAAAATTAAATCATATATCATGCTTTGCCCTCCTAATCCCCTGACTTTGGGAACATGTATTGAAAATATAATGAAATAATGTTTACTGGTGCGTCAACACCAACTGGGCTATACTGAGACAAACAAACATGTATGGTGATCAATGCTATAGATTTCCCTTGTCAGGAAGGTGGGCGTGGCAAGGATAAGTATCTAATCTTCCAGATGGGTTGAAAATCTAAGATCCCGTGTACTGGTAAACCATTGGCAGCATGTTCAAGATACCTTGACACAGTCTGAATTTATTCCGGACAGGTGCCTTATTTCCATACTTGGTGCTGCATTGTCTATTAAACATACATTATGCAAGAGCTAAATCTGCCAATAGCAGGTCTTTCTTTAGGCTTGAAATGTTATCTAAATTATTAATTAGACATTAATTAACTTATCCAGACCATAATCATCTCTCCATTTCATCACTATTCTGCGATATTTTCTGGATTAGAATCCTATCTGCTGCTTAAAGGAGCTAAATCGCTAACATTTGGGACCTAGAAATTGACAAAAGTGGGTCGCAACGCATATAATACTGTATTATGAATGTGTATAAACTGATTTACATTCAATGGTTTCCGTTTTTACTCCAATTTCTAATCAGTTATGTTTGACGAAATAAGCCAGCAGTCTCAAGCGAGTGCAAATTTCTAGCATCTGGCTATTCCAGTCTATATAGGCCGTTTGATTTGGTGCAATGTGTCTAGCCTCGCCCCTCAAGTCTCTTGATACAACTGGGGCTGAAGCGCATTATGGTACACGATTCGTGTACCAATGGTAAAATGTTTATTTTGTCTTAAATATTGGATATCAAAAGCCCATCTTTTTCCGGTAAGATCACAACATGAATGTTGATTTAATTTGACAAATAAATCGTGTTTTCAATGTTGAAGATTTTGGATGATATTGAGTTAGAGACTTAGCTACTTTAACGCTAAATTGATAATTAAATCAAAAAAATTGATAATTGAGACTATGTTTTTTTTATTGTACTGACTTTAGTAATGATGATTGAGGCTAGAGTCTAGACCCAAAATTCAATCGCTAAAATCTTGGTTCAGAGTGGATCAATTTAACTGAAATTTTCAGCAAATTGCCTTTACATTATCTAGTTTTTAACTATTATAAGTGAGAACTGCCAGCTCTTTATCTAATCTCCAATAATGCATCTTTAATGGCAATGCATGAAATGGATTATATTGAATTGGAGGTTATTTCAAACACAAAGGTAAGTTTCTAAAAAGCATAATTAAGGTGTTTGTTTATAAAGGAAGAAAACAGTTTCTTTTTTAGGATGACATCACATAGGTATAAAATATAATAAGATAATTCTTACTTCAAATTTTGCAGAGAGTAGTTTTTCCGGTGATTCTGGTTCAGTTTCTTCAGATGATCTTATCACATCTGGACTTGATGGACCATCACTTTCAACATCATTATGATCAAAAGTGACCTATAAAACATAAAAAAAATACCATTATCTACCAGGGCTACCCCTTTAAAAATAAACAGAGCCATGTGGCCTCAGTGTTCATGGCACTGGCTCACTAACCATGTTTGGGATTCCATGCTTTGTCAGGACAAAAAAAAAAAAGATGTCCCGTACACACTTACAAATGTAGGCATGTGTAACCAGCTTATATTAGGTTTTTATTGATGTTGACAGTTCATCCTACTGGTTCTTCTTATTTATAACACTTGATTCAGCTAATTCTAGAACTTCATGTAGACACAGTAAATAACAATCGTAACACACTAAAGCAAAGATACGCTAAACAGTAAATCTTATGCAAGAAACCGATAGGAAAGCAAACATGGATAGGATAAACTAGCAAGCAGCATTTTTTATCAACCCTTCCTTGAAATGTCAAATTTGACAATGAACCCCTCCCACTGTCCATTTTGACCAAAATCAATTTTGGCTGTTATGGCTTAGGGTCGTTATGACCACATCCAATTTAAACCTCCTTCATTTGGCCGAAGAACTCTTCAGTAGGCCTACGTAGTATAGTTATATCATGTGAAAAGAATTATATTATATGTGTGTAACAAGGAGCCACGGTGGCTAGTTGGTTAAGACACTGGCTCGCTAGCCTGGAGTTCGGGTTTTCGATCCCTGCATTGGCCGAAAAAGTTCATCTGGATTTTCCGACGTGGTTTCTCCGTGTCAGTGGTGCAGAACGGAGGGCCTGACAAGGACATACATTGGAATGCACGTAAAAGATCCCTTGGCAGTTGGAATTCGATATAAGAGTAGGCGATAGTGCCGCTGCCCGGGCAAAATTTCCCTCATAGCACACTGTATGGCGTATGCCCGTCTTCATTAGCCCAGTATAGAAGCAGAACAGTACGTAGGACGTTAAACCCCATTTCATTTCATTTCATATTTATTATATGTGTGTAACGGGAGTTACATGCAACACAAAGTTTAGTGGTAAGATTTTAAGAATTGTTCAGTTTTATGAATTTCAAGAACTTCGATTTTCACAGCAATTATTGGCTAGTTTCCGCGCGGACAAGTCTGCTGACTATTTTTGGGGTTTTTTTTGTTTTTTGTATCACGATGAGATGAGTAACTCAGTAACCCACGCGACAATTACTATTTTTAATCCTCCTGAAAAAAAATAAATAGAAACTATTTAAATGACATAATTTGTGGATCAAATGCAAACATGTTTTTTCTCACGGATGAAGCATTTCTTCTTCTGTTTGTCAGTGTTGTTTCAACGTAATTATTCTGAATTAGGAGAGGTTTTCTCTCATCCTCTGTTTCTGCCATTCTCTGTTTACATCCATCTGTCATGTGATTTTGGGAAATCCTGGCGAAATCCAATTTTGGTATCGGCTCAGTAGAAATATGAAATAAGCATGGGTGTTTATCTAAAATGGCAGAACTTGGGTTATTTAAAAAATATACCGAAATTAAATGGCTACAAGTATTATTTATAGTGGAATTTTATTCTTTCTTTGGCAAGAAAATATTTTTTTCTAAAACTCGTTTTATTTTAGTTACCCCAAAATCAACCAAATTTTTAGAAACCATAGGTGAAGGTTGTTTGCTTCTCGGTTTACCAGTATTATTTTTTCGATTACCGTTTCTCCTATGAAAAAGACTGGATGAACAATCATAAAAAGCGTGTTAATCATGGCGGACGACGACGATCCAGTGGTGCAAGAGGTTTTATGTTTTGTTCTCGTCAAGAAAATAAGCTGTTGCTTTTCATGATTGAAATATTTGATGAAACCTCTGACCTGTCTGTTTTTCTATTTATAATAATAAAAAACAAAGATTACACAGACGAACCACAATCTTTTATTTTTAATTCATGTTATAAGAAAAATTAGAAAGTCGTTTTGCACTTTTTTGTAGTTGCAGCTTACACAGGCAGATCAATGGGTTTTGGACACAACCATTCTGACTCGGAAGAACAAACAACTTTCATTTCGTATAAGCAAACAGAAACAAACAAAATGAAGAAAAAACACATTGTCCCTCAAAATTGTGTTGTCAATATCATTTGATATTTCCATTTATTTCATCATAAAAAAAATAAATCTAAAATGTAATAGCTAAAATCTAATTCTAATACTTACTTATAATTAGTAATGGTTGTGAGACAAAAATTAATTTAAGATACAAACATTTTTGCATAGAATCAATATTTCCCTGATAGCTGTGCTATCAATCTGTTTCACAGAGAATTACGAGTCTAGTGATATATCTCTGTCAAAGATGACTGCCTTAACACGTGCTGTCACAGCACGCGGCGTCAATCATTGGCTGAATGGCGCGTGCATTGTTTACATAAGACGTTACTGCTTGGGAGAGAATGCTGCATTTTAGTCATTTTAATACCCATTTACACTAAATAGGAAATAATTTTTACCTACAAATACGTCAAACGCCTTTATTTATTTTTCCAATACATAAAAAAAATGTTTTAGAATTTAATTTGTCGCAGGAAAAAAGTTAATATTTCTGGCTCATTAAGCCGCATCGATGTCATCCTTATCAGTGATTGTAGAGGCCTAGCAAATATTCACTGCGGATCAGTGTGCTGTGCTACAACTAGTTCAGTTCTGAACGTAGGTCTCAGTGACAGTACACTCACCCTGTACATTCAGGAACCGCCCGCTTATTGAATTAAAAATTCCAACTGTCAAAATGTTCTTGAACACCTACTAGTGTCTAGACCTTGTTCTTGCCAGGCCCTCTGTCCCGAGGAACTTTGTTGGATAACACTTAAACTGGAAGTGAATCCAAGACTGGTTAGCGAGCCAGCTGCTTACGTAGGGGCCTGCAATATTTTATTAACCAAGGTCTTTCCTTTATTTTTCAGATTGATGTTTTCTTGTCAAAAAGTTTATCTGAGAATTTATATCTTCTTCAGGTATGTAGAAATAAGTATGTTATCTGAGAAGATGAAACACTAAAATTACGTAATGTCTCTCTGTGATGGGACTTCTCTGCGAGTTTGTCTTCTGGGATGGGGGGATGGCAGAATGGTTAACGCATTGCATCACAAGGTCTGTCATTTGAGTCAAAGTGGCGTGTTTTTGATGCCTGCTTGTACATGACAAGGAGTAGGGTCGCCAGTCCAACCTCATGGGTTTTTATCCAGGTTCTCCGGTTTCCTCTCCCTGCTAAAGACCCGCATGCACAAGCGAATTAATGAAATAAAAATGAAACATGTGTTAGTCCCGAAATGACCTAGTTGTGTCAAGTGGACAATAAACTCTCTCTCTCCCTCCCTCTCCCCCCTCACTCTCTCCTGGGTTTCTGGTTTTCTTGCTTCTAAGTAACAAAAGAAATGAATTGATGGTAATAATTAGTGTTTATATTTCAGTATCCTGTTCGAACGTGTAACTTACCATATGATGATGTGGAGCATCTGTCTACCAAGGTTAAAACTGAACAGAAAAAGGTAAGCAGATCAGATGATAGAAAATAAAATGATGTTTAACGTCCTATTGTTCGCCAACAACTGAGCTCACGAAGAATTCCAACTATCAAGGGATCTTTAACATGTATGCCAATATGTACAAGTGACCTCAGCTTTTCGTTCTGTACCACTGACAAGGGAAAACCGCGCACAGGAACTTTCTTAGCCACGGCCGGGATGGAACCCAAGACCTTATGGTCAGTCGTCCCCACTGAGTCATTGCCCCTCACTCAGCAGATAGGACTTTAATGAACTTTGGCATATCATAGGGACCACTGTGGTTGTATGGTTAGGATACTAGACCCACAACTAAAACGTCTCGGGTTAAAATCTTAACTTGTGGCAAGAAAACTCTACGCAGATTTCCCATGTGTCCTTCATTCAAAATGCCAATGACAGAACACTGGTTGACAGTCTGAACAATAAATTAGAGCATATAAGATCTTTCCTGTTTTCCTGTTTATTAGAAGTTTACCTTCCACTTTTCTGATTCTGAGATAAAAGTATATTTTATGTGTCGAAACATTGACCTAACTGCCATGTAAAAATAGATTTTATGTGTCAAATTGATGACCTGGTTATACTGAAAGGAATACAGCTTTAGGTATAAATAGCTTTTATGGGTCAAATAGATGACCTTGTTATGCTGAAAGCAATACATCTTTGAATATCAATCAAATTGATGACCTAGTTATACTGAAAGGAATACAGCTTTAGGTATAAATAGCTTTTTATAGGTTAAATAGATGACCTTGTTATGCAGAAAGGAATACATCTTTAGGTATTATTTTACAGGTTGAGATGGAATTGGCGATGAACACAGAAAGTTCTAATTATGCTGATAGTAAGGGTGAACAAATAGCTCTTAATGTTGATGGTTCTAACGATGGTCGAGAAGCAAAGGTTTATACAAGGTATCTATCTATAAATGGTGTTGTCATAGTTTTCTCAAGCGTAGTGGATGGTCGAGTGTATTAACATGTGCGTTTTAGATCATAAGGTCTGTCACGGAGTCAAGTGGTACAGGGCACTTGATTCTTGTTCCAGGTTCCCAAATCTAAACATAAAGTTAAATATAAACAAATTTCTACTGGTGATCTGTAAGGGCATTCAAATTCATAGTCCATAAATACAAGGGACCGACTGTGGCTCCGTGAGTAAGAAGCTGGTTCAATAACCAGGATATCCACTGTTTGATTCCGCTGTTGGCCAATAAACTTCTTTAGGATTTTTCAACATGGTTTCTCCTTGGCATGCACGTAAATAAACCCTTGTCAGTCGGAATTCAAATAAGAGTAGGCCATCATTTCCTCATAGTGTAGATTATTATTATTTGTTTACTGTATATTTCGGGAGCTGTGGTGGCTAAATGAGTAAGACGCTGACTCACTAGTCTGGAGGTCGCAGTTTCCCAGCCATTGTTGGTCTAGAAAGTTCATTGTGATTTGCCGGGTTGCTTTCCCCTTGTCAGTGGTGCAGGGCGGAAGATCTGACAAGGACAGCTGTCTAGTCGTTCGGATGTTACAAAAAAACAAGGTCTCATGTACACTTTGGGTTGCACATAGAAGATTCCTTGGCAGTTTGATTTCGATATTAGAGTAGGCTGTATTACTGCCGGTGTCCAGGCCAAATTTCCCTCAAAGCACACTGTATGGCGTATGCCCGTCTTCATTATCCCAGTCGGAGCAGAACAGTAGGACATTAAACTCCATTTCATTTCATGTATATTTCGTTCTGTGTTGTTTTAGCGATAGAATGGATAAACAAGTTCTAAGATCAACACCACAAACTAGTTGTACTAAAAGATATGCTGTTGGACTTCTCAAAGATGGTAAATATTCCTAGTTTTGATAAACCCAAGGGCCTAGTTATACTTAAACTGTTCACTCTATTGTCAAGCATGTTCCTGAAGCAACAACCACGAGCTTTAGAACATCTTGTCATTGCTAGATTAGACGGATATTCTCAAACTTTTAGAAAGGTTTTCTCCCTTTACTGCAGACATGTGAACAAAAACGCTGTCCAATCAGCGGTTGAAACCTTTTTTTTTTTTATTTATTCGCAAACCTCACAGAAAACCCCCAAAAGCAAATTTGCTAGCACAGAAAAGTAAATTAGAAAAGATTGGAGTGAAATCTAAAGTGGTCCATAGCATAATCAAAGCCGAGAAGCTGGGGTTGAAGTGGAAAACGTCCAGCAACCGAAACATATTCCTTGAGTATAACTTGTTGATTCTACTTTTTGTTATATTTTTTTTAAAACCCAGAAACCTTGACATTTTAGCATCAAACCGTTTTTTTACAAAAAAACCTGGGCATTGAAAGCGTTAATAGTAAGGGTAATAACAATAAATATATTTTTTGTTTCAGGTGAGATGCATATGACTCCATTAAGTGCCATTGTGCAGATGAAACCAGCATTTGAATATTTAGATAAAGCAGATGTCCGAGAAAAAAACAAAATTGCAGCTTTAGCCGATGGAGGTATAGTTTTTACAAGCTTTATAAATAGTGGGAACAAATATCCAATAATCAAACTTTATCGTTATGGGGCCGGTTTCACGAAAGTTTAACTAAGATAAAATCCAAATTTTAATAATTTGATTGGATAATATTAGATTGATTTTAGTGCTTAGCCAATCAAATTTGAATTTTATCTTTAGTTAAGATTTCAAGAAACAGGGCCCAGATGACCAATTATATATTTAAGTTATTTTTAATTTATTGTGGTAACAAAAGAAACATAATAGATACAAAAACAAATGATATGGACGGATATTGTTCGCACTTGCAGTTGTCCTTGTGGACAGCTGTACTTGTAGTCAGTTGTCTTTGCCAGCAGTTGTTCTTGTGGGCAGTTGTCCTGCTCGCCTCTATTAGAATTATCACAAGATGAAGTTGAAGTTTTTACAATCTTTATAATTAGTATAAATATCCATTGTTATCATTCCGATGACTAATTATATTTTTGTGCCTCAGCATTTCCCTGTTTGTTTGTAGAGTGAAAGTTCCTCAGGATTGTCTGCCGTAGTTCCCCCTTGTCAGTTGTGTCGGATGCAGGACCTGATAAAGACTCCCTAGTCATCCGGATACAACTGAAAACCAAGGTCCATGGCTCGAAATGTTCACCTGTCTACTGGTAACCGACAGGCGATTTTTTCGTCTGACAGGTAGCAAGTAAAACTACCTCCCGTGGACTAAATTTTACTTGATGTTCAGTAAATTGACCACAATACTCATGTCCATGTCACATACATTTAATTATTCGTTTCTAAATGCAAGAATTAGGCACTGAAATACCACGAAAAGACGCCATTTGCACTGTTGACATTTTGCTCTGTTGTAGGCAACAGTTACTCTCACAGTTTGGAAGTAGACAATTTCAAACAATGAATTTCACACCATCTACGCTTGTTTTCACCTGCTTGACACTAGTTTATAGCCTTATGAAGTATATCTAAATAAATTAAAACGCAGGCCCCAGGTTATCTAAAATAATGACACCACAGTAATTTAGTAAATATAGTGGTAGCTGGAATGGAAATGCACATGGCTCGTTGCCTCGTGTATTTAATCATTTAAAAAGTTTAAAATAATTTCCATAAATAAAGGCTATGAATAATTTACAAAATTAAATAATTAGATCGGAAAAGTATTTCATATATAAATATAATTTGTAGAGTAGATATAGACAGGATATGTGAGAAAGGAATTCCAGAGGGCGTTAGTTGTCCTCTGCACAGGTGTGATTCGTGTTTTGATAATCAATGTATTACAGATATTTTAAAATCTGAATTCTACACCTCAACAGCGAAGTATTCCATTTATTACGCAAGTTTGGTACCATGATATGATACTTGGAGGAATTTGTGTGGATACTGATGATAGATTTGTACGAATCTCTGAGTCGTTGAGTCGCTGAGCCAAAGCAGATTCGCCGACTTTCAAGAACTTTTAGGCATTCCGATGTCGAAGAAATAAAAAGGTTTCATATTACGATATTTATATGGAGCCTTTTTTTTAAACATTTCGAGGCCTAAAGGTCCCATGTACACATTGGCGTGCACGTAAAGAAATGCTGATAGTTGGAATTCAAAATAAGATTAGGTCATAGCACCGCTGTCCGGGCAAAATTCCCTCATAAAACACTGTATAGGAAATGCCCGTCTTCATTAGCCCTGTTTATGCAGAAAAGTAGGACGTTAAACCCCATTTCATTTCATTTTGTTTTCTCGCCTCTTTTAGAATTCCAACAAGGTGAAGCCGGAAATTTTTACAATCTTCAAAATTAGTATAAATATCCATTATTATCGTTCTCATGACGAATTATTTTCATTTATTTTTAGAATCATCACAAGATGAAGCTGAAGATGACGCAAAGCCTGTAACCGTTAAATTTGCCCGTCCTGAAAACGACATTACGAAAGCACGACGTCTAGCCTCCTATAAATATCTGAATTCTCATCGAGAGAAAGAAAGATGGATACCAGTTCAATATCATAATAAATATGTAGGTTTTAGTACAAATATATTTGCCCCTTGCCTTTCAAAGATTGAGCCCAGTTGGAGCTGACGTGCAATAAAACAACATTTCATTTCATTTTCAAAGATTGGTTCGATCCTGGTGTTGGCCTTGATATTTCCTCAGGATATCCCGGCGTGGTTTCCCATTTTTAGTAGTGTATGATGGAGGACCCGACGTCTAGTCATTTGGATGGAATAAAAAAAAATCGAGGTTGCTTGTACACATTGGCATGTACATGAAGGACCCTTAAAAATTGAAGTAGCACCAACGTCCTGGCAAAATTTCACTTGTATCACGCTGAAGAATGTATGGCCAGCTTCATTGCCCAGTTGTAGTAGAGGAGTAGGATGTAAATCATTCTCGGTATCACCAGTGGTATCGTTCCGATCTACTCCACGAAACCTCTAGGTCCATTCACAGGATTTTCATTAATTTAAATTATCTCCCCTTGATCGTAGCTTGATTCTACGAACTAATCAAAAAACAGTTTACATACCTGTCTTAGCGTCATTGTTTACTTTCACCATAATAATCTTAGTTGCAATAAAATGCAAGTTACTTCCCTTTGTCCACTCGATTGGTCGATAAGATATCAGAAGTATTAAGGACAAATAATTTGACTGTGTCTCCCCCGTGGATGGACCCCCAGAGGTTAGTGGAGTAGAACGGAACAATACCACTGGGGGATACCGAGAATGGATGTTAAACCCCATTTCATTTTATTCATGTGAATGTTAAGCCTATACCACATGTTAATCCCTATTTCATTTTAGTCAAGTGGATGCCACATTTATCTTTCTGTTGGGAGAGGGTGGATGACCGAATGGTTAGCATGTGCGCACAGTATCATAAGGTCTGTCATTGAGTTAACTGGCGTGCTTTCGATTCCTTGGTTGTACATGTATGTTAAACCCCATTTCTCTCTCTCTCTCTCTCTCTCTCACTCACTCTCTGAAAAGTAAAATGTTCCGTTATTTTTATTTTTTCAGGCTGATAGATCAGCGTCTGAGAGATTATCATTAATAGCCAGTAAAAACGACGACATCTCAGAATTTCATCTTCACGGTCGCGAGTATCTACATACATTGGTTCCGAGTGAAAAATCTGAAGAAAAGTAAGCAGGAATATTTTAATGGAAATAAATGTACCTTGGTTATATTTTCCATGGGGGGGGGGGTTGGATGTCATTGAGTCAACTGGCGTGGTTTTGAATCCCCGGTTGTACGTGACAAGGAGTAGGGTCGCCTGCCCAACCTTGTGGGTTTTCTCCGGGTCCTCCGGTTTCCTCCCACTGCTAAAGACCCCCTATGCGCAAGCGAATTATTGAAATAAAATTAAACCATATGTTAGTCCCGAAATGACCTAGTTTGTGTCGAGTGGACGTTAAACCCCATTTCTCTCTCTCTCTCTATTTTCCATGGTCGCATGTGCAATGGGAGGAATGATCTAATGTCTGTCGAATCTCGTAGGTTTTCTCTGGGTATCCGGTTTCCTCCCACTGCTAAATTATACTCAAAATGACCTAGTTTGTGTTGACCTAGTTTGTGTTGAGTGAACGTTAAACTCCATTTCTCTCTCTTATATGCAATATTCTGGTTTTACTGTTTAGGAGCAGAACAGTAGGACGTTAAACCCCATTTTTTATTTCTGGTTTTACTAGTAGCGAGGATCTGAAAAATCGATTGGAGTCTGGAATTTAGGTCAAAATAATAGCATTTGATCTTTTGTAATTTTGTTTACTGATGAAAGAAACTGTATGGTTAAGAGAAATCAAATGAAATTACACTTTTATTATTCACCCAAATGAAAGAGGTCTGCCAGTTATGGAATATCCAAATTTTGTTTATTTTGTATTTTCAGTGCCAGACCTGAGATGCCTAGTAATGTTTTATCATTGAGTCATCTTCGTACATTACCATTACCGGATCAAATTAAATCTTTATTAATTAACGGTAAGTTGTAAATCATCACCATTACTGGATCAGATTAAATCTTTATTTATTAACAGTAAGTTTTAAATTATTACCTGATTGGTAGTTGGAATTTGCCGAAGAAACGTCAGAAATGCCACTGTCTGGTAGGGCTGTACGATATTCTTGATATAGTCATTTATAGCGATATGGTATTTTCAGACCCAACTACGATATCATGTGTCCAAAAATCGTTGATATAGTGGTTTATCGAATATCGCCAAAAACATCAAATATCGAAAAAAAATATCATGAAAATAGATAATAAATACACTATACAGCAGTGGAAATTAGCCGACGGCAATAAACTATAATAAAACTAATGTTTTGAGAATCGTTAAATGTTGAAAACACTTGCGCAGTGTCCGCAGCCGTTTTTCACTACATCGTGTATGCGTTACTTTTACTTTGTTTTTAGTCCACAATAAATTGTCAGTTGTTACTACATGTAAAGCTTAGCCCTACTAAACGCCTGAAATTTTCCACTACCGCAGCTAATTACCAGGCTATAAATAGGTTGTCATATTTTTAAAAAATGAATATTTTTAGAAAACGCTACAAAACTTAATTTCTGAAAGCAAGAATAAAACGATCTATAAATAGATTACTGTCACTGTTAGGCCACAAATACCGCAGCCAATCGAATGCTTGAATGGAAGATAGTCCAGATCATTTAGTATTTGTTAAACTGTTTGAACTTAAATACAAGACTTGAAGACTGCACCTACGTACTTCCGCTGCAGGTGATATTTGAGAATTTTCTTACACAAGGTCACAAGCAGACACTTTTTAAACATCAGCGGTTGTATTTAATTTTTATCCAAAAAGGATGTTGTTTTGTTCATTTTAATAAATCTATATTATAAAAAAAGCAAAGTTTAAAGTGTATGAATAAAGCAATTCTTACCCACAATTCTTACTCACACTGTAGTCAGCTTTAATGCATTTATATTTAATTTATTTAATAGGAAAGTGACATTATTATTAAATATCGCAATATTTAACTATATCGTTGAAAAAAATGCCAATATCGATATCGTCCCTTTTTGCAATATAGTACAGCCCTACTGTCTGGACAAAAACACCATTTCATTTCATTTTGAATGCACCTTGGTTAAAGATGTTATATGTTTTATATTTATAGTAAAGGTGATTCGATTTAATCAGTTATTATCACTGTTAGATCCTGGCACTGATGCTGTAGCTGTATTAAGATCGTTACAACATTACGCTCTATTAGTACAAGGTTGTTGGATAGTCAAAAGGTAACTCCCATTTATTTCTTTAGTGAGACCATAGAATAAACTTTCGAGGAATAATTTGTTTTTTCTCCTGTCCAGATAGACTAATGCTCTACTCAGTGTCTGTCAGTGCTCCACTCCACATGGGCAATGCTTCACTACATATGGCTAAAACTGCCACTCCATATCAACCAATGGACACACATCATATCAACCAATCGACTCACTCCATATCAACCAATCGACTCACTCCATATCAACCAATCGACTCAACCAATAAACCTACTCCATATCAACCAGTGAACCCACTACATATCAACAAGTGGTCCCACTCTATATCAACCAATGAACCCACTCCATATCAGCCAGTGTTGTAATCTCTGGTTTTGAACCATGTATTGTTTCATTTCAGTGAGATATTATATCCTAAAGATGCTTGTAGTCCAGAAAGTGGTGTTTCCTCAGAATATCTGTGTCGAGGTCGAGATTTTATTGTAAGTAACTCTATTACATTGACTGGAAATCACAATTGTTAGTGATTGGTTGAGAGGGGGGAAAGATGTAAATGAGTTAAGAGAAATATTGAAACTGTGATATCAATTTTATCCTTAGGGTCTGTAGCTGAGTAAGACGCTGGCTCGATAGCCTGGAGGTCGCAGGATCAATCCTGGTGTTGGCCGAAAAAGTTCCTCAGAATTTTCAGGCGTGGTTTCCCCTTTTCAGTTGTGCGGGACAGAGAGCCTGACAAGGACAGCTGTCTAGTCATTCGGATAGGATGAAAAACCGAGGTCCCGTGTCACATTGACATGCCCGTAAAAGAACCCATGGCAGTTGAGATTAGATATAAAAGTAGGCTGTAGCGATGCTGTCCGGGCAAAATTTCCCTCATAGCACAATGTATGGCGTATGCCCGTCTTCATTACCCCAGTCAGAGCAGAACAGTAGGACGTTAAACCCCATCTCATTTCATTATACAATCTTTCAAGGATACTCAATGTTGTGAAAATTTCAATTCATCATATCTTTGTAAATAATTTTGTACTGATATTTCTTTTAGAGATTCAACTGCCACAATAGTTTGCAAATCTGTACATGACGATTTGCGGGTTTAAGTTTTGATGTGGACGTTTCAATTTGTGTTGTAAATTTTATAGTCCATCCAAAAAATTATTTTATTGATTTTGTTAGAAATAAGATTAAAGAATAATTTCTATGTTTATTTTAGATGTGGAAGTTCACCCATTCAAGATATGTGATAAGAAAAGATATATCTTCAGTTATAAAGGTAAAGATATTAATATGTAATGTCTGGGCCGGGAACTGGTCGTCCAGCGCTACTCAGCTTGTTCTAAAAGCCTAAAGAGAAGCCGCAAAGCAAAGAATTATCTTTGCATACCTTCGCACGCTTCAAACCCTAGCTTTATGGCGAACTTTGAGAACTCGCACCGTCTTCGTAGATCAATTGAATCTTTGATCCAGTTGTTAAAAATATGAATATGGCAAACTTGAAATTGTAAAATGTACATAGCTTCTTTTGTTCTTTTTATTGATATATTATTCAGATTGATTTTATCCTAATTTGGTTATATAGTCTTTTTGTATATATTTTCTGCAATATAGGAGAGAGGTAATATAGGCCTAGTCTGTTCCTCAATCCTTTTCTGAGAATAAAATATTGTTTATAAAAAAAGTTAAACATTGTTGTTGAGTGTGCATATATATACATATATATGAAATGTTTCAGTTACCAGCTGAAGATGTAAAAGTTTTATTAGAACAGATGTCAAGCGTTAAAGCTAATAAAGGCTGGGAATTTCTCTTTGAATATGACACAGAATTCTGTGATAAGTAAGTACTTTTAACCTTGATTAAAGCCCCTGATTGTCATTTCAGGGATTATGAATCCTTTCCAAACTACATGTATTTTTCAAAATAGCTGACATGTTCGCCTCCCGCTTCTGTTTCTTGTCAAAATCGGTCAAGAACTCTAGTCTGCCTTTCTCCGAAGTTGTAGTTTTCCTTTTTAAATCTGCAGTCTTGGTTATTAACAAGTCTTGTGTACCTATAAATCTCTTGCAGCTCCTCTTTTTATATATGCCCACATTGAAATGTGGTCGTATATTGTCGTATATTGCTTGCAGGGACTGTACAATATAGAAATGTTTATATTTTCGTAAAATTTCGTCATTTCTCATAAAATTATCATAAAATGGAAAATGTCACTATTTCTCATAATAATATCAGAACTAGAAGCCAAATTGGTTGTGGAGGGTTGGATGGTCGAATGGTTAGCACATGCACGCTGCATCATATGGCCTGTCATTGAGTCAACTGGCATTGTTTCGAATTCCCGGTTGTACGTGGAGCCACGGTGGCTAGTTGGTTAAGACGCTGGCTCGCTAGCCAGGAGGTCGGGTGTTCGATCCCTGCATTGGCCGAGGAAATTCATCTGGATTTTCCAACATGGTTTCCTCTTGTCAGTGGTGCAGAACGGAGGGCCTGACAAGGACAGCTGTCTAGTCCTTCGGATAATATGAAAAAATGAGGTCCCGTGTATACATTGGAATGCAAGTAAAAGATCCCTTGGCAGTTGGAATTCGATATAAGAGTAGACGATAGTGCCGCTGCCCTGGCAAAAATTCCCTCATAGCACACTGTATGCCCGTCTTCATTAGCCCAGTATAGGAGCAGAACAGTAGGACGTTAAACCCCATTTCATTTTCATTTCATTTCCGGTTGTACGTGTCAAGGAGTAGGGTTGCCTGTCCAACCTCGTCGGTTTTCTCCGGGTCCTCCGGTTACCTCCCACTGCTAAAGACCCCTAGGCGCAAGCGAATTATTGAAATAAAATTAAACCCCATTTCTCTCTCTCTCTCTCTCTCCCAAATGGGTTGTTACTGGTAATCAGATTTTAGTGTGTATAAATGTTTTCATATGCGACCCAGATGGTTTAGCTGCTGTATGTTTGGTTCCTTGGAAACCTATCTTTAACCCATTTAACCCTGAGCCAATTAAAAGATTAGCTACCCTACCCCTAAGCTAATTAAATCAGCAGGGCCCATTTCCTAAGCCAATTAGTGGATTATTGTTAATCCTAATACCCTCTACAAAATTGCAAATAACTAAAAAAATATTTTCTATACATAGAAATACTCTGTTACAAAAATGTACAGATTGTCGTGTTCTTTCCAATGATATAAAATTCAATTTTACAAAGATCCCTGCGCGCTAGCGAATTACTGAAATGTTTTGTAATGACCTAGTTTGTGTGGAGTGGATGTTAAGCCTATCTCTCTCTCTCTTTACATCATGTGGTGCTATCCTTGATTTTGTAGATATAATGAAATTGTTGAGAGACAGAAAATGTTATGGGATGCCAGATATCAAACCTTGTCTAAAGTTTTTAAAATACCTAAAGATGCTGATAAAAAAGCAAAAGGTAGGTAGATCTCCTATTATTGTTTGATCTTATGGGGCCATGGTAGATCTAATTTTATTGTTCTATCGGGTGACAGTCAAGTCATCCACAAGCAAAGTCGTCCACACCCGTTGGTGTAGTCATCCACAAGGAATTGGTGATGTCGTCCACAACTAATACTAAGACTTGTACACAATTTAATTGTATGGAAGAAATAGCTATAATATAGTACTCGTTGACTGTTTTGTTATTTGATTTTAGATCGAATCACCAATGTTTTTGTAATAAATTCAGTTGTATTGTTTGTTAATTGTATGGAAGAAATAACTTTTGCTCCTTGATTGTTTTGATGTTAGATCGGCATTGATTTTAGTTAGGGGGTTTTATTAGTTCATTTGCAATCTGATTAAAATATAGATCTATATTTCGTTTCGTTTTTTATACTTTCGATGGCCTACACTACATGTAGATCTAACAAGTTATAGTGGGAGTTCACGTTCTATGACGTCAGGTACCAAGCAAGCGACATTTGACCCGATTACGTCAGTCATTCGATTAACCAATTAGCGACCACCATGTATTTTTTATCTACTTTTGCTTTGTTTTGATTTCTATTGCCGCTAATGTCTACCCACAGTTCCGCGCAAAAAAGGTCAAACGCTCGATTCAACAGACCATTTGATTGGCTGACCCCTCATTTCAAGCAGAACACAAGTTAAATAACAACTCTTCCAGATCCAAGTGTAGTAAAGACAAGTGAAATCGAAATTTTAAACTATAAAAACGAAACGAAATTGGATCTGTGTTTTAATCAGATTGGTTCATTTGTAATGAATTATCCTTGTAGTGTTTGTGGGATAACAATAGATCTATCATTGTTCTATCTTTGTTCTATCTTGTGGTGTGTTGAGAGGGTTAAAACACCTTTCGATTCCTTTTATTTCATTTATACTTATTTCACAAACTGCCGATATTATTTATTTGCTATGGCAGCGACTTGCTTCTTTTTAACTTTGAAACCATTAAAAAAAAATTGATTATCTCCATTAGGTGTTGAATCGTCATGATTTAAACTTCTGCATGTTCCTCTTCGGCCATTTCACAAACTGTCAATATTATTTATCTGCTATGGCAGCCACTTGCTTCTTCCTAATTTTGAAACGATTAAAAAAAAATTTGATTATCTCCCTTAGGTGCTGAATCAACATTAATAACCCAAGCTACCTCCGATAAACCAAAGCGTAAAAAGTCATCTTCATCTAGAAAAAGGACCTCCAGTGGACGTTCTGCATCGGACGTTAGTGATATGGAGACGGACACTCGACATAATTCGGAAAGTGACACCACCGAAACTGCAAATAACTGTGAACCAATGGAAATTACAGAAAATAATCATGTGACTACAAATTCAAATAGTCCAATCAAAATAAAGGATACAAAATGTGATAATGGTTTAACCAGTGAAAAACAGTTAACTTTAGAATTAATATCGTTTGTTAGAGATTTGTTGAATACGAAAAAAGTTTTTACTATTAGTGAATTACGAAAACGTTTTGATATAAAATTATCAGAGTGTTCACCGGGACATGTTCTATTCTCTGGTGTGACGGAACAAACTTTAACGGATACTATTATAACATCCGGGGGAATACAGCTCAATAATCAGGTAGGTCGCCATATTATTCAAGTGATTGGCCCGATGGTGGCCAAATCGTTTAACATGTGCACCTTAGACCATAAGGTCTGTCATTGAGTCAAGTGGTGTGGTTTCGAGCCCACACTTGTACATTACAATGAGTAAGGTCATTTAAGGGCAGCTGTGACTCGGTAAGACGCTGGCTCGCTGACCAGGAGGTTTCGAGTTCGCTCATGGTTTTGGCTGACTAAGAAAATATGTTTATTCCAGCGAGATTACAACGAATAAGGTCACATATCAAGTCATGTGGGCTTACTCTGGGTCCTGCGGTTTCCTCTTACTGCTGAAATCTCATACTTGCAACCTCATTATTATATAAGAGAGAAGTATATCCATATATTCCTTGCAGGTGGGTACATGTATCTAGGAATTTGGGAGATGTTCTAATCCCAAATTATTAAATCAAAGCTGGTTGAGTTGGGGGCTCAGATTCTTTCGGAAAAATATATTATTAATGACTGCTTCTCGGTGTATTCTGTGTTCTACCAGGGGATTATATTCAATGAAGATTTAAATTTAACTAACAACGTCCTAGATTTTGGATTCATCTAACTGGGTCTACATTCTGATTTTACGATTTTGGTAATAAGTAAAGAGTAAACAACTCTATCTTTGACCTTTGTCAGTATAGAATTTGGGCGTAAAATAATTTGGGCCCCCATACGTTTTCCGGAACCAAATTGATCCTTGATACTCCCCGCCATGTGTTGTGTTGTGAATATTTAACCGTACTTCTGGATGTCATTTAGGTGCAGCTGTGACATAGTAAGACGCTGGCTAGCTGACCAGGAGAATTTGGGTTCACTCCTGGTTTGGGCTGACCAAGAAAGTTTGGTCTTTCCGGCGTGAATTTCCTCTTGTCAGTGGTGCATTTCATTTAAAGATTTTATTATTATATTTTCTTTTAGTGGCCACCTAAATCTAAATCTGAAGTGATATTTGCTCAAGTTAGAGCTGGTGATATATTTGATGAGGTAAGTTCTTCCTCTGTTTCTGGGGGGTTGGATGGCCGAATGGTTAGCTCGTGCGCGCTGTATAATAAGATCTTACATTGAGTCAACTGGCGTGGTTTCAATTCCCTGGTCGCCTGTCCAACCTCGTGGGTTTTCTCCGGTTTCCTTCCACTACCTACGCGCAAGCGAATTATTAAAATAAAAGTTGAACCATATGTTAGTCCCAAAATTACCTAGTTTGTGTCGAGTGGATGTTAAGTAGTGGGGTTTCGATTCCCCGCTTGTATGTTACAAGGGGTAGGGTCCTCTGGTTTCCTCCCACTGCTAATATATAAAGACCCCTATGTGCAAGCAAATTATTGAAATAAAATTGAATCATATGTTAAACTCCATTCCTATCTCTCTTTTGATAAATGACTGTTTTCTACATGTACCTTCATAAACATGTTTATAAGATGTAGAAACTAACAGATCAATACCAGCTGTTGTACAAACAACAATAAAATATTGATTTAATTCATTGAACAGGCGTAGAATTTATTTAGCGATAACTTATAAATGTTTCACTTCTAATAAATATACCACATTTAAATATTACACACCTAATAAATATATCACAGTTAAATATTGCACATCTAATTATATACATGTATATATCATAGTTAATATAACACATTTAATAAATATACCACAGTTAAATATTACACATGTAATATATATATATGTAAATATAACACATCTAATAAACATACTGCAGTTAAATATTACACATGTAATACATACGTGTATATATCACAGTTAAATATAATACATCCAATAAATATATTGCAGTTAAATATTACACATCTAATGATATACCACAGTTAAATATTACACATCTTATAAATATACCACAGTTAAGTATTGCACATCTAATAAATATACCACAGTTAAATATTACACATCTAATAAATATACTGCAGTTAAATATTACACATCTAATACATATACGACAGCTGAATATTACACATCTAATAAATATACCACAGTTAAATATTACACATCTAATAAATACACCACAGTTAAATATTACACATCTAATAAATATACTACAGTTAAATTTTACACATCTAATAAATATACCACAGTTAAATATTACACATTTAATAAATATACCGAGGGGGGCAGGGGCAGAATAGTTAACTAGTGCGTATTGCACCATAATGTCTGTCATTGAGTCGAGTGGCTTAGTTTTGATTCCCAGCTTGTACGTGACAAGGAGTAGGGTCGCCTGTCCAACCTTGTAGGATTTCTCTGGGACCTCCAGTTTCCTCCCACTGCTATAAAGACCCCTACACGCAAGTGAATTATTAAAATAGAATTGAACCATGTATTAGTCTCGAAATGACCTAGTTTGTGTCGAGTAGACCTTAAACCCCATCTCTATGGGGGTTGGATGGCCGAATGGTTAGCATGTGCGTGCTGTATCAAAAAGCCTGTCATTGAGTCAACTGGGGTGGTTTCGAATCCCCAGTTGTACTTGACAAGGAGTAGGGTCGCCTGTCCAACCTCGTGGGTTTTCTCCGGTTTCCTCCCACTGCTAAAGAACCCTACGCGCATGCGAATTATAGAAAAAAATTTAAACCATATGTTAGTCCTGAAATGACCTAGTTTGTGTCGAGTGGACTTAAACCCCATTTGAAGATCATCTGCCATTGATATTTTGCCATCTGTTGAAAATCAAATAGTAAAATAATCAATATGATACATAATCAGTGTGAAATAAGCCATGAAAAATTAGATATTGTCTGAACAATGTACGATCAGTATCAGTGACTTTATGGAATTTTTTTATTCATTATTTGATTGATTGAGCTTTCTTAAACATTATTTGTTGTTCATTCCAGTGTGTTGAATAATAACTATCTAAATTCTGAACATTCTTAACTTGACATATATATGAAGATTGATTTTTATTTATTAACAAAGTAATCTATTACAGAACTAACACAGTTATATGGGAAAACAATCACTGGTTTATTATACACAAACACGACGTTTCGATAAGTATCATTGTACTTGATAACGATAAGACTAAGAGGATACTTATCGAAACGTTGTGCTTGTGTATAATAAACCAGTGATTGTTTTCCCATATAACTGTGTTAGTTCTGGTATGTCTCCAATTGCTAAATGCCACTAATTAAAGGATTATAATCTATTACAATAACTTATAATTAATATTCTTTACTGATCAATATGTGTTTTATTCATAGATTTTAATTAAATTAAATACCTACTGACAGTCATAAAGATAGTTTATAATGAAAATTGCATATTATGAAATTTTAATTACCAACATATACATGTACCACTTTGTTTAGGAGAGGGGTGGGGGTGGGAGTTGTTCCCTTACCTTGTTTTGGTGGAGGAACAATGTTCTTTTATTTTGTGTTTGAGAATGGGAATGTTGTTTGGTTACTATGTTTGCGAGGGGAAAGAGAGAACAGCGTTCCCCCACTATTTTAAATAAATCTAAATTTAATTTGTTTAGTTTCCACCCAAAATGATCCTTTAACTGTTTCAGTTCTTTTGCTTCAGCTGAGGTTATGCAAACCTATAAAATTGAATGGTCAGCTTTAAACTGGACACAAGTACAAATCAGATGATTTTCAGTGATTTTAAACAAGTTTACGATATTTTAAACAAGGATTTGATATTTAATGAATGTTATTTTTAAAGATTAAATGATACTCAGGTTACAATAATAGATAATCATGGACTATAAATAATATCAAGTAAAATACAACAAAAGGTTTTAAAATATATACACATTTGCTATCCAAAGTAGCTGGGGGGTTGGATGGTCGAATGGTAAGCATGCGCGCGCTGTATCATACGGTCTGTCATTGAGTCATCTGGCGTGATTTCGATTCCCCGGTTGTACGTGACAAGGAGTAGGGTCGCCTGTCCAACCTTGTGGGTTTTCTCCGGGTCCTCCGGTTTCCTCCCACTGCTAAAGACCCCTACGCGCAAGCGAATTATTCAAATAAAATTGAATCATGTGTTAGTCCCCAAATGACCTAGTGGACGTTAAACCTCATTTCTCTCTCTCTCTGTTTCTTCTATGGTAATTGCATTCTGCACACAGAGATCCATCTACTTTATTCCTCGAGAATAGATCTCTGCCCTAAATTTCCGCCATATCCAAAAATGAGTATACTGTTTTGTAATGTGTTTCTACTCCGCTTCACATCTGTCTTACACATAAAGACTAAATAAACTTCTTTCAATTTCATTAAATGGGAGCAAAATAAATACTCAACAAAATTCTCGAAGTATACTCAGTGTTTTCGACTAAAACCATCGATTTATTACTTAAAATGTCCCTCAACTAGCTTAGTGTCTGTTCTCAGACAGAGCTAACTGTAGACAGACAGCCTAAGTTTAGTATGTGGTAATTGAACATACATGTATTAAAACAAGGTACAATTTTATGGATGCACAATTACTGTGGTTAATACTTTGCGACATTTCGACGAGGATCATTTGCTTAGCATTAACCTCAGTAATTGTTTATCCATAAAAATTGTACCTTGTATTAGCTATATGTATACCCTGCATTGTCACCTCTTTTTTATTATAGAGGGATGTTAAACCCCATTTCATTTCAATTTTAGCCTGACACCACTGCCAACACTGATGATTTTTAATATTTTATTTTTCAGATGCGGCCACATTTATTAGATTTATTTAATTCATCATTTAGAGTAAAAATATCTACAGTTAAAACTCATCTACAGGAGAATATCGAAGATGAGATAACAGAAACTACCTGTAAAAAATTATTAAAGGTTTGGTCATTCTCTAACTTTATTTAAAATATAACAATGGATTATTAACGGTCAAAAATGGGTCATTGCAGTTGAATAGAATTAATGACTTAGCATATTCAAATAATGACTTTTAGGATATTCAAATAATGACTTTTACGATATTCAAATAATGACTTACAATATTCAAATAATGACTTACAATATTCAAATAATGACTTTTAGAATATCCAAATAAAGACTTTTAGAATATCCAAATAATGACTTAGAATATCCAATGAATGACTTTTAGAACATTCAATTAATGACTTATAGAATATCCAATTATTCAATTGAAGAGTTTTACTTTTAGAATATTCTAATAATGACTTTGCATATTTAAATAATGGCTTGGATTATTCGAAAAATAAAATCGGCAACAGAGATTTTGACAATATTAAAACAAGTACATGTACTTGCGTGACTGTGACAATTATTTATTACATGCGGAACTACAAACCCGTTGGTGTGTGTATGTTTTGATGCCTAGCAAACATATTGATGGTATGTTTTTGTTGTGTTTTGCAGGATTACTGTGTGTCACGAGGTGGATTCTGGTATTTAAAAGAAACGTTACCAACAGAATCCTGATATTCAATAACTACTATATATATACAGATGAGCTGACTGTGACAGAATCATGATATTCAATGGCTAGTATACAGATGAGCTGCCTGTGATGGTACCCGGTAACTGTACAACAACAATATATGCAACTTAAAATTACAGCATCAAATGACTATACTACAGATGAGCTGCTTGTGATGGTACCCGGTAACTGTACAACAACAATATATGCAACTTAAAATTACAGCATCAAATGACTATACTACAGATGAGCTGAATGTGAACTTAATTTTACTCGACCACAATTTATGCATCTTAAAATTACAGCATCCAAATGAAATGAAATGTGTTGCCAAATGCAATATTTCGAGTGTACCTGGTGATTGTATACAAAGTTTTTTGTCACCCTTGAGAGTTTTGATGTTATCTTGAATTTCTCAAAAACTCTGAAGGGTGACTGAGGTTCACCCGGTAGATTCTGAAAGAAGACACCCCCAGCTTCTAAAATCAATCATAAAAAAAACATTGTATACAATTTCCAGGTTCAGCCATAGTTTGCCGGACTATATGTCATGGAGTATGTTATGAGGGAAATTTTCTCTTCATCAAAATTAATCCCAAACCTTTATGTGTCGGACCTCGGTTTTTTGACTCATCCGACTGTGTCAATAATGTTCCTGCATCACTGACACGATCTCGTTAGTGAGTTCCGTCAGTTAACTTGTTACCATATATGTAAATTGTTACCATATATGTAAATCAGTGCCATATATGTAAATCAGTGCCATATATGTCAATTGTTACCATATATGTAAATAGTTACCATACATGTATATGTAAATAGTTACCATACATGTATATGTAAATAGTATCCATATATGTAAATTATTACCATCTACAGGTGGATGTAAATCATGTAAATTATTACAATATATGTAAATCACCACCATAATATGTAAATTATTACCATATACCGGTATGAAAATCACCATACATTATTACCATTTATGTAATTAACTACCACATATGTATATGTATGAGTTTGATGTGAATGGCTGTTAGTATGTTCTTACTATAATTTATGCACACTAATGACATCTATTGTAATATAATGAATGAAAATTAAAATTTATATATAAATATATTTCTGTTTTGTGTGGAGAGTTTCCTGTATAGTACCTACAGAACAATAAATATGCGACAATACGCGTTGACTGCTTGGACTACTTAGCTGCTGTGGGATTATGTTTTATTGCCTGGCAACCTGTCTTTTATTCTCAAAAGTTAATTCTTTGTAAAATAGTAGTTTTGTGTAGAGGGATAGTGGATTCAGATACTGGAAACTTGTTTCCTCTAGATTATGACCGGCATCTTAGTCTGAGAAGAAGTATGTTTAATTTCCGAACTGTTATTAAAATTGGTGTAGAAAAGTAGGTTGTTGAAGGAGCCAAGTCTTTAACTCAATTTCATCCAGTCTTTGACATTTTCAGTTGAAATCAACATTGATGTTGTTATCTTACCGTGAAAAGTTGGGTTTCTGATAACCAATATTTAAGACACAATGAAAATTTAAAAATTGGCACACAAATCATGTGCCAGAATGCTTTCAAGCACCATTGGTAATGAAGCAACTCGATCAACGAGGCTAAACATTTCCCATAAGTGAATACTACCAGTGTAGACTGGAATAACCAGGCGCCAAAGACTGCCATTCAATTTGGACTATTTGCATATTTCGCAGATCATAACTGATTAGAAATTACAAAAATGATTGAACGTAAATCAGTTTATATACATTTATATTACATTATGGACCCATTTGTGTCCATTTCTAGGTGCCAAAGAATAGCGATTCAGCTCCTTTAAACCCCTTTCCTCGTGCAATCTCGGCAAACTAATAGGCTTACCATATGATATCTGGATGCAGAAGAGTTTTGCGACAGATAACTTGACTGGATATTGAATATAATTGAATATAATAATTATTTATTTCATTATGGGACCGGATGTGGGTAGGTTTTCCCCCCAGGGCTGATAAATGTTTAGCTGGGCGTTGCTGAGCATGGTTTCTTTCGATATTTGCGCATATCGGATCGTAACTTCCTGAATTATGGCCCCTGATTGTACGAAAATTCGCGTTTTTAGCTTGTGGTCCGTCTAGAGGTCACAATTATTATCCAATTTAAAAAAAAAACGTTCTAATATATCACCGTTACACCCTAATGATGGTTGCGAATTTCGTGAAAATCGGACCAAAATTGCCGGACAAAATGGTCGCCCCTCGTACGCAAATTATATCAAGGTTGTGGACCCTCTAGAAGTCACAATTTTGATCCGGTTTTGATGAAACTTGCAATATATCTTATAACCCAAAGAACTTGGTTCCTTTCGATATTCGCGCATATCGGATTGTACCTTCCTGAATTATGGCCCTTGATTGTACGAAAAATCGCCTTTTTTTTAGCTTGTTCTCTATCAATCTCTTGCAAAATGTGGGCGTATCTTGCCTGGCAGCCGCTGGTTTTCCATCTGAAACGTACAGCACAAAAACTTAAGCAGCGCAAACTGTAAACCCCTTCATTTAACCTCTAATGTATTTTCCGTACTTACAGACCAAAAGTATTAATATAAATGGCCACAATCCAAAAAAGAAGACGATGAAACAAAAGAGATCAACCTTTTTTCTGGTCAAAGCTCAGGTCACCAAATCTGTCGACTAATCTTTCATCAAAAACAGAAAGTTTAAACAGAAGACATTAGACACCTGGATGGTATAATGTTACCTGTAGGTTTTAGATGTGTGATGACTGTTAAGATCTATCGTACTCCTCCCAATGTTTCGTTTGATTAGACCTAATCCCGCCACTCAAAGGATTTCTCGAGCCATTTGCTTCAGGAATATGAGAACTAGAGGTAAAACTTTTTATCCCGTCAAAATCATCACCTGTGGCACTTTTCCAATCTGTCTGGACTCTGGACACCCTCTTTCATATTCGGCCAAAAATGAAAAGTTGTGACTGTTGGAACTAATAATGTGCTAATCTTGGGGATATGATGGCTTCAGAATTTTTGTTTGTGAAGATCTTTTTGACAGAAATTTTGTTGAAACTGTGAAATGGAGAGCTTTTTTTCCAAAACACAATAAACGCCATATTGGGAACAGTGCCTGATCTACCTATATATATATACTGGCAGGCTGAAACCTAAGGGCCTTAAGATCTAGGTGGTCCTCCGGCCAAAATGTATAATATTTTTGACAATATACATGTACCTATACTACCTTTCTTAAACATCAATTATCATCCTCAGCTTTATTGTATTCTGTTTTTCATCTAAATCGTGCTCTGATTCGGGAAATGTGGTCGAATTCCAACTGCCAAGGGATCTTTTACGTGCACGCCAATGTGTACACGGGACCTCGGTTTTTCGTCCCATCCAAACGACTAGACAGCTGTCCTTGTCAGGCCCTCCGTCCTGCATCACTGACAAGGGGAAACCACGCCGGAAAATTTGGATGAACTTTCTCGGCCAATGCAGGGATCGAACACCCGACCTCCAGGCTAGCGAGCCAGCGCCTTAGCCACCGCGATCCCCCAATTCAAGTATAAAATAAAGAGAAAAATGGTTTAAAGTCTGTAATTAAAGATACATTATGGGAGATTAGATAAAGAGCTGGCAGTTCTCACTATAATAGTTACAAACTAGCTAATGTAGAAGGAATATGCTGAAAATTTCAGTCAAATTGATCCACTATGAACCGAGATTTTAGCGATTGGATTTTCGGCCTAGCCGCGATCATCATTACTAAAGTCGGTAGAATAAAAAAAAAACATAGTCTCGATTATCCATTTCATGATTAAATTATGAATGGAAGTCGAACAGCAAATCGAAACCTAATCCAATAAAATCACAGGCTAGCGATGCCATCGAGAGTTGATTATGGTCTGGATAAGTTAATTAATGTCTAATTAATAATTTAGATAACATTTCAGACTTAAAGAAAGATCTGCAATAGGCAGATAGAGCTGTTGCATAATGTATGTTTAAGTCAAGTTATTTCCCCAATTTTTCACAGAACTATTTACTTCCAACTTTTTTACCCCCTCTCTCTCTCTCTCTCTCGCGTTCCTATATTTTCCTATGTTATCATAGCTCTATTTATTCTTCACTTTTTTACCCCCTCGCCCTTTTTTTCAGAGCTCTGTTTATTTCCAACTTTTTTACTCCTTCTCTCTCTCGCGTTCCAAAATCCAACATTTTATTTGTTTTTCACTTTTTTCCATCAATAATATCTTCAGCTCGAGATTTACTTTCACTCTCCATAATCGACTGACACGAAAATAAAAACCCATGCCGGCATATCTTAGATTTCTGTTAAAAGTTCAATAGATTGTTGTAGAAGATTAAGACAGTCATGTTGTATTTGTTTGTAGAGATGGGGACGGGATTAACCATTGACTCACATCTATCTCATATTGAATCCGTTTGTGTAAGGACAATGGGAATATAAATAGAGGGAGTGGCTCATACTAAACGTACGCTGTCTACAATTAGCCCCAATTGATTACAGACACGAAGCTAGTTGACTGACATTTTAAGTCCCAAATCGATGATTTTAGTCGAAAACACTACGCATTAAACTATAAGACATACTTATGGAAAACTACTACTCATATAAACATTAACACATACTTATGGAAAACTACTGCAAATATAAAATACTACTAATATAATCTACGTGTATAACACATACAAGTACTTATGGAAAACTAATATAAATTGCAACATGCTTAAGGGTGAATCTTGCGTTTTGATTGGTCAATTAGACACTGTCGAATGGACAATAACACCCCTCTGTTTTAGTAATTTTGAAATGCTAAAATAGCATGTTACAATGTCGATAAACACTTCCTGTTTGGCATTAAGAGGGGTGTTATTGTCCAATAGACATGTCCTAAGATTTTACATTAGAACCCGCGTCTTGGGTCCTAATGATCTCAGAGCACAGTGTATGCCCGTCTTCATTATTCCAGTCGACATAGGAGGACATTAAACTTTATTTTATTTTATTAGAGCTTCTATTCCCTTCATTTTATCAACCCTGAAATACAGCGATCTGCTGACAGACTTTTAAAAGGAGCGTGTCCGAGGGGGATCCGTGGGGTCCAGACCTCTTCTAGCATATTTTCAGTCTCCTACATTTATAGAAATAATGCCGAACAAACAAACGTGCGAAGAATTGCTGCCGTTTTAGCCTCACTCAATTCTAATCTTATGCATGTATGCATCTAAAAGAGCAGTAATATTGTCTCAGGTCTTCTGATTATATAAAATTATCGGGTAATCCCCCAAAACTCATGCCATACTAAACTTATAGGCTGCCTGTCTACAGTTAACTCGGCTTGGGAACAGGCACTAAGCTAGTTGACCGACATTTTATGTCCTAATTCGAAGATTTTAGTCGAAAACATTATGTATATTTTTAAGAAGCATTTATTCCGCGTCCATTCAATAAAATTGAAAAGGTTTATTTGGGTTTTTTGTGTATGACAAATGTGAAATGGAGTAGACCCGCCTTACAAAACAGTGTACTAATTTTTGGATATGGCGGCCATTCAGGGCAGGGATCTATTCTCAAAGTATGAAGTAGAAGGATCTCTGTGTGCAGAATAACCTCAAGCCAGACTCGACGTTATCTCTACCCAGGACCATCCTGTGCAGAAGTACCTGGACACGCCCCTGGTTAAACATTGCTTAATGCCAGATGGACTCGATATCCACCTGGCAACAGATCAGACATTTTAATCCTTGACTAAATTTAAATCAAAATGAAGATGGTTATTGATCAAAATTCCAACCATTGTGAATCTCAATTGTCGGGAAGTTGTCATTCGGAAAGAAGAAGTCCATTAGCATTCAGCTTCATTTCATCCAAATTCATTCTTGTTTTTTTCGTATGAATTGGTCGGTTATTGTGAATTTTTTATTCATTGGAATTTGGAATTAATCTATGTTGGATGTCTACTGGATTTAGTGCTGCTGTGGTTGCATGGTGTTAATGTTTTGATTGCTTGTGGATCTATTCAAGGACAGTATCGTTTTGCTCTCTATTAATTAATTCTTTTTTTTAAGGGGGGAGGGGGGTATAGACCATATTAATTTGAATTTTTATTCTGATTAATTGGGGGAAAAAATATAATTCGTTGCTCATTAGTTGAAAATTTAAGGTTTTGATATTTTAAATAAAGCATTCCTTCATGGAATTCAAGTGGCTCTGTATTTAGAAAGACACTGAATAACAAAAGATTATTTTTAGTTTTAGTTATGTAGTGGAATGTATGTTTTAGGATCAGAAATTCCTTTACATTTGTGCTTATATATATTAATCTGAGAGGAGAAATAGTTATATAAAGAGAATGCTTTTAGATGAAAATTAGATTTTTTTAAATATTTTTTTTTTTTGCATTAAACAAAACAAAAGATACTTTAGTTTTATCTCAAAAACTTGAAAAAAACCTGAAGATTTTAGATTTGTGCATATTACCAGTATATATTAATCTGAAAGCGAATATAATGTCAATGTTAATCTTAGAAAGACAGCTATGTTAGAAGAATTAATTTAGATGTCATTATGGTCTTCTTCACTTTTTTTTTCACATAAAAAGATAGACAAAGAAAGTTCAAGAAAACTGAACAGTTTGGAATTAAGTTCAAATCTGGAAATTTATTTCATTAAAAGATCAATCCCTGTAATATTTACCTGTAACATAGGATTTGCAAAATTTCAATCATTTCAAATTTAGCTGTACTTTGTGGTCTTTTACTGCAAAAATTTATTTATTTCAACTTTTGGTTACAAAAATTCAGTAAAATAAGTCCTATTTATAAGAGTATATATTTTTTAGAACTGGACTTTTTAATGAAATTTCTGTTGTAAAGAACTGGTGTTTATTACCGGTAGATATTTATTAGATTAGACATATTAACTATATAAGATAAACTAAAAAGTTGGACTTTGGCATATGTCGCTTAATAAATTTTCATTCAAATCTTAATAAAATTTTCATTCAAATCTTAATAAAAATTTCATTCAAATCTTAATAAAATTTTAATTCAAATCTTAATTTTAAAAAAAAAAATTCATTCAAATCTTAATAAAATTTTCATTCAAATATTATTAAAATCTTAATAAAATTTTCATTCAGATCTTGATAAAAAAAAATTCATTCAAATCTTAATAAAATCTTAATAGAATTTTAAGATGAAATCTTAATAGAATTTTAAGATGAAATCTTAGTATGATTTTCAATGAAATCTTAATTAATTTCAGGGCAATATTATCTGAATGGGATCCATTGGATCAATTTTGAAATTTTAAAGAAAATTGATGAAATATAAAATTCATGGCACATTGATAATTGGATCATAAAATTTATTGATTTAATTTCCTTTAATGTAGTTGATTTAGATAAGTTTAATGGGAGCACATTGGATAAGGAAGTTAGCTCTTAAAAACCCCTTATTAGTACTTTTTTTTAACCTTTTTGACCTTGACCACCATGGCAGATTGGTGGGGTAGAGGAGCTAGTCACCCCAAATATTTTCTTCAGGGCAATTTGCTACATGATGAAAAGTATGCAACAGCATGTGCTTTCCCTTAAATGCATATTTATAATAACAAATGAATCTCTTCTACTGAATTTGATATTTAAGCTGCAGTGGTCAAGAATGTCTTGGGTTCGAATACCTTTGCTGGCTGAGAAGCAATTAGGGGGATTTTTCTAGGCCTGGCGAGGGTTAGAGTTAGTGCATTTATAGAATGATTAAAACCTAATGTCAGTAATGATGCTCATGCAGTTTAATTATTTTATGAACTAATCTAAATGAAGATGTTTTGTTATAGTATTGTTTAAATCGTACAAGTGGAAGAAAGAAGAATTAAACTGAACAAAGGTAGGAATGTCAATAATCTGATTTAGTTAAATATTTGTTTTTTTTCTTAAAAATGGGACAATTTCTTAGCATGGTCCCAGTTTGTTTCTATATTTGTAAATGTTTTACTGGGGCAATACTATATACCGGAAAACACCGGAAAACACCATAAAACATCCAGAAAACACCCAGAAAACACCGGAAAACACCATGTTATACTGAATACCGGAAAACACCGGAAAAACACTAAATACCGGAAAACACACTAAATACCGGAAACCACCCTAAATAGGTAACCCGGAGAAGGGCGATACTATAAACTGGAAACTAACCCTAACCCTAACCCTAACCCAGGCACACAGAGGACCAGGCTCCCGGTCTCCGGATTACCTATTTAGGGTATTTTCCAGTATTTAGTGTGTTTTCCGGTATTTAGTGTTTTTCCGGTATTTAGTGTTTTTCCGGTATTCAGTATAAAATGGTGGTTTCCAGTTGTTTTCCAGTTGTTTTCTAGTGTTTTCCGGTATATAGTATTGCCGGTTTTACTGGTCATTTTTGATAATGTACAGAAAACTTCGCAAATTAAATTCATATTTCATTTTATTTATTTATGGTAATGTATCATGAATGCAAGACTTCGTCAACACGGTGTACACAAAAAATTATATATTGGACTAAGAAATAGATTAGTAAAGCCTATAATAATTATTTATTAAAGATGCATTATGTATGATAAAGAATGGACAGTTATCACTATAATAGTTAAAACATAGATAATGAAAAGGGAATATGTTGAAAATTCCAGTCAAATTACCTCTTTCTGAGCAGAGTTAGAAGAACAGTTTAGTCTTGATTGTCATTGCTACCATTCTTACAATAATAAATAAAGTCTCGGCTATCCAGCAATCGTGTTTAAATCCGTTGAAAATCAAAAGCATCCGATGATCTTGTTTTATATATATAACATAAGAGGCCAAATAAAAGATCTGCATTATGTATTAAAATGAAATGCACGTAAAAGATCCCTTGGCAGTTGGAATTCGATATAAGAGTAGGCCATAATTCGCTGCCCAGGCAAAATTTCCCTCGTAGCACATTATATGGCGTATGCCCGCCATCTTCATTAGCCCAGTCAGAGCAGAACAGTAGGATGTTAAACCTCATTTCATTCATTTGTTACTTGGGCCTCACAAGGACAGCTGTCTAGTCATTCAGGTGAGAGGAAAACCTGAGGTCCCGTGTACACATTGGTATGCACGTAAAAGATCCCTTGACAGTTGGAATTCGATATAAGAGTAGGTCTTGTGTGCACATTGGGTTGCACATAGAAGATCCCTTGGCAGTTAGATTTCGATATAAGAGTAGGCCGTAGCACTCGTGTCCAGGCAAAATTTCCTTCATAGCATACTGTATGACGTATGCCCGTCTTCATTAGCCCAGTAGGAGCAGAACAGTAGGACGTTAAACCTTATAACATTCATTTGTTACTTGGTTAAATATGACACAAAAGGAGAATCCTCCTTTAAACACATACTAATTTGATTTACTTTCATTTATTTATTTAAATTAAGGAAGTAAATGAGTGATAAACCTATTAACTGAATTTCATGTTCTATTATTTCCTTACAACTTATTAAAATCGTTTCCTTGTTATTAATAAAAACCCAACTGGTATTAGTGGTAAATAACCAACAGGTACTTGTGGTAAATACAACCTGTAGGATGAATCCACATTTAGTTGGGGTTGGGCACACTTTCATTCTATCCTATTACGACAACACGTAATTTTGTATGAATATTACTGACATAAATTTGAATACCGTACAGGAATAAAATATGAAGAATAACGAAGCGCACCTATTTTTTTTATTATGTACGAATTTGAATATTTTGTTGACATGTGATTTTTAATTGTGGTCTGAAACTACAACTGGTCAGATCTCTATGTAGTAGACTGGAATAACCAGACACTAGAGATTGCCGAACATAACTGATTAGAAATTACAGTAAAAACATATTATATTATTGTATGCGTTGCGACCCATTTTTGTCAATTTCTAGGTCCCAAATATTAACGATTTAGTTCATTTAAGAATAAAAAATAAACTCATAATTTCATCTTTTAACTTTGGTTGGACATAATGAATAATGACTGAATGGCCAAACACATCACTTAATTCTAATACTTTTAACCTTTTGCTGTTAATGGGTTGGGTTATTTAACTAATGTATCTTGTCCATGACTGTTTCACCGATCTCTCAATCAGTTTTTTTTTTTTTACTAAGGTATTGTGCCCTTGATTCTTTCACCAGTCTTCACAAGATATAGTGTAGTCATTAACAGAATGACAGTTGGTAATAAGTAGATATGTCAGGACTGTCATGTGACCAGGGTGTCATGACATATGTTTGTGTCATGTGACAGGATGTGTGTTAGTGTTAACGGTGTGATATATTTCTAGTACTGAGATGCATGGAGATTTAGGTGTAATTTTTTCAAGATGCATGTCACATGTATGATGTATGACGAAATCTTGAGTTTTTTGTACCATCTGAAAGACTAGACATGTTCCTTGCTAAGGCCCACATCCTGCATTAATCCCTTCTTCCAGGGCTGGATTCAGGCAAAATCGATCATCACCACACCCTGACAAAAACTTGTAGTCACCACACTATGCCCTGGCAAAATTTGTCGTCACCTCACCATGCCCTGACAAAATCGGACATCACCACGCCCTGACAAAATTTGTCATCACCAGACCCTGACAATATCGGTCATCACCACGCCCTGACAAAATTTGTCATCACCAGACCCTGACAATATCGGTCATCACCACGCCCTGACAAAATCTGACCTAAATGGCCACCATATCCAAAACTTAGTACACTGTTTTGTAATATGGTTCTACTCCATTTCACATTTGTCTTAAAAACACAATCACTAAATAAACTTTTTCAATTTTATTAAATGGAAGTCGAATACTTAACAAAATTCTGGAAGTATACATTGTGTTTTCAACTAAAATCGTCGATTTAGGACTTAAAATGTTGGTTAAGTAGCTTAGTGTCTGTTCTCAAGCGGAGTTAACGGTAGACAGCTTAAGTTTAGTATGATGTCATCTGTGACCAGGCCCATAGCCAGGCCTGTGAAGTTTTTAGGGGGGGGGCACACCCGGCACAGTCTACAGAAGGTATTTTAGAGCTATTATCGGCATTTTTTTTTTCGGGGGGTAAAAACATTTTTTCGGGGGTTCATTGCCCCCCCTTGCCCCCCGCTGGCTACGGGCCTGCCTGTGACAGAAAGAACTATGAGTCACATGTCACAAACGTTCTAGTTTCACGTTCTGTAGGAGTGAAAACCTCAAAACAGGGAAAGGTCATTATTTTTAATGAAATAATGAATGGCATAACTTCTGATATAAAAAAGAAAAAAAAATAATAGAAAAAGAAGACAGTTTTTGTTAAAGAATGACTTTCAACTTTCAACTTAGACAGCTGATTTATGGGATATCATGGACATGATGGTTGTAGCTGATTGGATGTTTAATATATGATTCCAAAATAACGTATTTAATTGATGTCATCTGGTGATGAATAGATGTCACAACTAATGTCAGTGTCGTGTAATGACATATTGTTTAATGTCATTTGTTTCATTATATTATGTCTAGATGGGCCATAATGAATTTCTATGTACGGTAGGCAACGTTGACTTGAATGAAGACACAAGCTGACCGGAATAAGATTACTTTGTTACAAGTACAACATAAGATATTGGTACGGATGGCGAGTATATAACAATATATATCACCTATATCATCATAATGGATACCAATTGTCAACATTAAAACCAGTATATCTCTAACAAGATGATTATTAATTAATGACAGGGACCTGTGGACTCCAACCACCTGGCTTTGGTGAGACACATGAGAAGTGTGAGTTATATTATGACCACTCACCACACTATATCAAATTGTTATTACACAGTGCACCATCCACAAACTGGACTCCGGTGCGCTGTACAATACAATCAATTCATACAAACTGGGCTCCAGTGCGATGTAAATACAATCAATTCATACAAACTGGGCTCTGGTGCGTTGTACAATACAATCAATTCATACAAATTGGGCTACAGTGCGATGTAAATACAATCAATTCATACAAACTGGGCTCTGGTGCACTGTACAATACAATCAATTCATACAAACTGGGCTCCGGTGCGCTGTACAATACAATCAATTCATACGAAGTTAAGAATGCTATAATTATCATATAAGAAATGAAATGAGGTATAACATGCTACTGTTCTGTATAGACAGCGCACGGAATATGACATATGGTATGCTATGAGTGACGTTCCGGCTTACTTTTATATTGAATTCCAACTCCCACTGGACCTTGATTTTTTTGTCCCATCCGAATGACTAGACAGCTGAAACGGGGGAACCATGCCTATAAGATAAAGGAGATAAGACATAAATATATAACACAAAGCCATAGATATATCGTATACAGACATAACTGATCAGAGTAATTGTAATGATACTTTATGATGGTGTACAAATATCAAGATTGTTAATTAATATGAAAGATCACAAACTAAGAAGATGAGCAATATTGTCTTTGGTGTCGTCTTCCTATACCTACTAGTCAGTATTATTATAATATGATGTATATATGAACCATGAACTGATAATGTATATATTATATTGTCTTTTGTGTAGTCCTCCTATACCTACTAGTCAGTATTATTATATGATGTATGAATGAACTATGAACTAATGATTTATATATTATATTGTCTTTGGTGTCATCATCCTATATCTACTAGTCAGTATTATTATATGATGTATGAATGAATGAACAATGAGCTAATGATTTTATTGTCTTTGGTGTCATCATCCTTTACCTACTAGTCAGTATGAACTAATTATGTATAACTTATATTTTTTCTGATAACTTACTTTGCGTTATCTTATCTTTTTCAAGGAATTTCAAGTTAATTGCTATGCAGG